CGGTTCGTTGAATCAGTAGATTTAATTTGGTTAGTTTTCCAATAGGTGAACAAAAGGCAGTCATTACATTTTTTAAAGCCATTAGCCAACTCACTGGAGCCCATTTTCGCCATTGTCGCCTTCACAAAGTTGAAACCACCCAGGTGAAGAAGAAACTGGACTACCGAAGCACAGGAGCAGTGCCGCAGTGATCACGACTTTTTCAACGCACTTCGTAGTTCCGAAGTCAAGCAGATATTGGTTGCCAACAACTGTTCCGAAGTTGCCAACAACAATATTGGTGGCCAACATCTGTACCATGCCACTTTCGTATTGGAAAATATTGCAAAAAGCTACATTTCCAGCGTTGATTCTGTGCGAGGTCAGATTAGACCCGGTTGCCCAGTTTCTATCCGATATTGGTGGTACGTTCTCACTAAATATTGGTTAACACAGCGAAAGGAAATGCTTTCAGCACGGTTCAATATCGGCAACGAGATTGGACTTGCAATGTACATGTTTCTCCCATAGTCCATTATTCTTCCATATTGCCAGTCAATATTTTATAAAGGCATCGTCTTCAAGAATTGAGCTGTATCGACTGCAAGATTCACCTCGTACTTGAATTATTTCGTCTCGAATCGGGCACTCACGAGCTGCCAAGTCCGCAGAGAATACCACGGAATTTCCCGCTTCTCTTCGCATATCCTGGGTCTGTTCGGCACTGATCCTTCGCGGGGTCAAAGGTCAGAGGGAGATCAAAGGGAGGTCTGGTGGAGGTCAGATAGCGAGAAAGGGACGGCTGGAGACCCTTTCGATTGAAAATTAATATTCATCACAATCACGAGGATCGGGGTCAGGAGATGCAAGAGCCTCTTAAGTCCCTTGGGATACCACTTCACCGAAAGGAATGATTACAAATTATTAGCGAAAACGAAACGCGAAACCGCACGGATATCCAGACTGTAGACCTCGGATTATTTTCTACCGACAATTGAAGCTAAAACTGCTTCAAAACGTTGCCATTTTCCAATTTTCCGTGTCGATCACGTCTAGATTTCGTGATACCGATCGCCATCCAGTTGGACGAATTTCCTGAGATATTCAGGGATATAATGCCTGTTCGGAGGTTCCCGATACACCGATATTCTCCGGGAATTTCCTTGGCGTTGCCATGGAGATGGATTCGCCGAGGAGGAACACAAGGACATGAAAAATAATCCCATTTTGAAGCCAAAGGAGGAAATCCCACCCTGCGATCCCCTTAACGAGCCCCGTGTTTCTCGCGATTCCACTTTCCCGAGATTGGCGTTTGGAATCCGTGGCCTTTAAAGAAGTCGTTCTGGTGGGTCTTTAAAGGTTCTGTTGGCCTTTAACGGACGCCCTCGCGCGAGGGGAGTGCGGGACCTCGCCCGTCTCGCGCGGGTGGGCAGTCCATCATGAAGTGGGAGTCGAGAAACCCAAAACGCGAAGAGGTAAAGTGAGTCTTACATGCTATTTCCGTGACGGGGGAAATGACTTCGTAAGCCAGAATAAGTGAAACATGGGAAGAATCCTCAGAAAGCCCTTTGACACATGATCCTTATCTTTATATCATGCCTTATAATGAGAAATATTGGCCCGTTCGATTGGCGATAAACGAATTTCCCAGTTTTTGTTGAAATAGCACAAAAGGAATGGGGATAGATTCAAATAAAAAAACGCTCTCAACATTTGCGTAATTCTCGAAGAGGACAAAAGAGGGCACATGCCCCGACTTTTTCAACCGACGGCCCCTTGACCGACTTCCACATAGAAGTATATGTATATCGGCAAAGTAAATCCGCTATATAATATATATATTATATCCTATGTCCTCCTCCCCCCCTCCCGTCCTTCCCCTCCACACCGTCACCCCTCCCACCTCCTGCCGGATTCTACAAGTATCTTTTGAAGAGCGGGGTGAAGGAACTCCAGGAGGGGGCAGCTGTGACTCCATATCCGCTCGCCCGAATCCACCACAACAAAGCCGAGGAGAGGATCGTCGCCTTTTCACATCGAGTCAAAGGTCGCGGTGTTCATAGGTCATCACCCCCACGTTTCAAACGCTGCCTGCCTTCAACTGCGGGCCAATCGAAGAGCGGAATTTTGAACCCGGGTTATGTAACGAATTATCATCCCTACGCGTGTCAAAGTTAGTTCGCTCGTCGAAGCAGCCCGATCTACTATCTATTAGAGCAATCATGACGGGACCCGACTTCAAATTCTCTCAAGCGGAAGTGAACTTTGAAAATTCCTGAAGATTTACTACCAGGGTGACCTAACATAGAACACAGTCGCGGCTAACAGCTTTGAACCCACTTTCAGGATCAAACTGACATTTCGTTTCGGAATAATATGGCAGGAGTCTCCAAGCACACTCTCTTCAGATAAAGATCAACGTGCTCCTTCAGCTCTTGATTTGCATGGGCGACAAATACTGTACTCGAATAACGTCGCAAAAGATGGACCCATGGAAAAAAGAAAGTCGGATGCGCGTCGGGAGCATGCCCTCCCCCCTTCGGACGTCATCGCCGTCTCGATCCCCTTAATCAGGCTTCATCATCGCTGCGTGCGGAAGCGTGCAGGCCTGTGTGTCATGCTTCCTGTTCTCGAAGCCACGTCCCAATCTAGTCAGCCGAGAGGATAGAAATCACGTTTGGTATCGTTGCGGCGACGATGAACGAGATTCGTGACTCGACCCCCTCCCGAGTTAATTTGCATTTTTGCGAATCGAAAGCGGCCCCACCGTTCCGTTTCAGACGAGCTCTGATGAGCATGACTATCTGGATGGCAGGAGACCGTGGAAGTTTTCACGATTCAACGCTCATTCTCGGCTATCTGGCTTGACTTTGTTCCGCCTGTCGTTTTTCGTTTGAACGATCCGATTTTTAATCGAACGCTGGCTGAAAGGTTTCTATTCGAATGCTGAGAGATTTTTTCGTATGAGGTGATCCGATGATGTGCATTATCAGTCAGCATTCTTTCGCATTCCTCGTGCTGTAAATTCCATTTGCTTTATTCATGGACCGGTCTCGGCGAGTCGGTCTGGAGTGCAATTGCATTTCGTCGATGGCCACTCGGGCGGATGGGTTCTTGCATGCTCCGATGCCTCCACAATCGGCGAGAGAAAAGATTCGCTGAATATGTAATGGGAGAGGAGGAGAGGGTCCAAGGGTGTCGTTCTTGACGTCACATGCCTTCTCTTCCGAGAATCATGTGCATGCAAATGCGTGTCTCTGGGTCGTAAGAAATGGAGATGCGGGTTCTGCTTCGAGGGGAATTTTGGCGAATTACATGGAGATGGGAAAATAAATCTCATGCAATCTCGAGGCAAAGGCGGCGCCCCTTTACAAGGCGGAGATGGTGGATTTCCTCGTATCCTTGGGGGCGAGAGAATATACGAAGTGGGAGAAATATCGATTCGTTCGAGCGACCGAAGGCGAAATTAGTTTCATTTTCAATAGGTCAGGGTCAGTTCGGAAGGGGGAGAGAAATGCAAGGATCCGTGCAAAATGGAGGCGGAATGCCTTGGGAATTGGCCTGTTTCCAGACTGTCTTTGCACTCGGCAACTTCTGCATATCCCCATGTTGACGTGAGATCATCTGGGCTCATCGGCTCCCTCTCTAATCCACTTTAATCCTCCAAGCTCATTAGACATGCGAGAAGGCCTCATCTCATTTCGTTCTGGGGAGGAAGATTCACACGAGTCCTTATCTTGAAGACACGGAGCGCAGGCGCCTCCGATGTATTTGCATCTCCGTTCGCGTCATTGCATGTCTATTTCTAGAAAATTGTCTTCCATCTCCGTAGAATGAGGGATATCGATTCCGAGAAGCCTCTGCAGGCGAACGTTTACCCTCCGGCAGGCTTGCACTCGCAGCCGTAAGGGCGCCGGCTGGGGAAGTTGGACCTTGGAGGATTCGCTGCGTCTCCTGCGGGGACAATATCCTCATTAGCTCGCTTTCTCTCGAGTTCTGACTCGCTGCTCCTGGAGTCCAGATTGAATCAGAGATAACAGAACTTGACTCTGTCCTACGAAAGTAAACTGAACCGTCCATAAAGATCCCCGTAGTTACAGGCTTTTCGGCGCAGTTCTCAGCAGATAAGCGGGACTCGATAAACCCTGAGAGAGGAATTTGGGTCGTGTCAACTATGCGCTAGGGACCTTTATTTATATATCTAACGGGGAATCAGAAATACGAAACAGCGATGTTTTGGAGTACGTAGTGGTTAGGGTTGCCACCCGTTCATAATTAGTATGGACAGTTCATATTTCAGATGCAATGTCCATACTGCAAATTTGTCTTAATATGGACACTATTTCATCCAACTTTTAAAAAATTTTTTTCGTTGACAAAACTTAATAGCAGCTAAAACCATTGTTTTCTTCGAGCCAGAGTAGTATGCCACACTCTTATAGCATCAATTGGTACTTTGGCTAAAGGTGGCTGTAGGTATTTGCTGCAGAACCACAAATGCAAGTATACTTAATATATTTGTCCATATTTCCATATGTCCACAGACCATATGTCCATATTTTACTAATTTCAAAGGTGGCAACCCTAGTAGTGGTATGCAAAATAAGTTCCATATATAATTATTTCTGTATCTCCCTTGAAAAATGTAACGGATGGTTTGCGCATGCTAATGGTGGTATAATTTTTTCAAGTCACAGTAAGTATTCTATCGAACTTAGACGTTCGTCCTATCCTCATCTTCAGGCATACACATGATCCATCTTGCATTTGTCTCGAAGGTGCCGGATGCCGGCGAGCCAGATTGAAAGAAGGCATTCCATGTGCGACTGGCTGAAGCTTTCTCCGGAGTGTTGCCGCGCATACTCCACAGATGCCAGGGCGATCGCTCCAAGCTGCCTCCATTAACATGACGTCACTAGTTGGAGCATCACGGGTGTTCCTGTGACACTGTTGCTTCCCGTAGTGGGTAGGCTAGGTAGGTTAGCAAATTCCGTACCCCGATACGGAATGAGTCATCCGAGATGTCAGTGAGGTCCGAGTCGGTCACATCAGTTAATGTTGGGACCTCTGCTAACCGCCAAGTGCATGTGAATGTGTGACACCCCTCGAGGCGAACATGTTTCGCTGTGTCCCGCTCTTCAAAGGCTGCAATAGGCAAGTGGAATATGTTGACAAGCGCCACTGCCTACTTGCGAATGTCCCTGATGAAATCCTCCGATATGGGAAGAGTTTGGAAGAGCTCTTATTGGATGCCAATAAAATCCGCGACTTGCCGAAGGTGGGTTTCCTCATTGGAGTTCATCATTTCAACTGGTTGATATAAACGTTTGGAACTAACGTTGACCTTTTTACTTCTAAGATTCAATGTCAGACTCCATGTTCATCATATCACTTGGCGAAACTCTACTATAAATGCGATAGGCATAGAGTAGTCTTTGACTTATAGTGTCTTATCCAAAATCTCAGCAGCTTGGGGTAGGTTAGGCCATACCTAGCTTCTTCTAAGCCATTAATCTTTCATATAAACAATCTTCTAATTTAGGAATGCCAAAGTCTCATTAATTGTAAAGAAGAATCAAAGGAAAGGAAGACACTCTTGACGTTCAAAAATGTTGATAAACTTTTGGATTGAATTGATACCCCCCCAATAGGAGTGCTTTCATTGATTGCAGGTAGTGACATCCACATGTCTGGTTTTGTGTATCATTGGATGAAGCAGATCCTCTGGATTTTAGGCTTTGTTCACCACTACCCAGGGGGAAAGGGTAAAAATTAATCTAAAAATAGTATGCTGAAGGTATGCCTCAGTAAAATCTTTTCCTTCTTTAATATAACACTGAACATTTTATGACATGAGTTGAAAACTCATGTAATAAAATTTGTGTTAGCTATCCTTTGAAAATAAACTTTCATCATTACAACTTGAATAGAGATTTTACCTTTTTATAACTTGAGCTGTATCCATGAGTAATTATGTATGAGAGCCACTATCAGAGCCATACATTTATTGGACCATACATTGAGGATATGAAGGGAGAACAAAATGAAACTGATAATGTTACATGGCTGATTAAAGGAAAGCTGATAGTATGATGTTTTTGGTGCCATGATAATTTACCTCTCCCACTTCTCCTTCCCCCCCCAATCCTCAAAGGTGTTGATTCTTTGCTAGGTTGGCAACATAACCTAGAACCTCTTCTCTCTTCTTCCAATCAGCGATGTGATGTCATCAGTTTCATTTTGCTGTAATCTCCTTAGCACATTTAGGACCAGCACCCTACACATAATGTTGATTTTCAGAAATAAATACAAAGCAATAAGAGCGCAGTTGATGGCAAAAAATGGTACTAAAAGAAACATCAGAATGTCTACAATCCACACAAGCACATCTCAGAACCAAGTAGTGCACATAAAGAATCGGATGCATGAAACTTCATCCTACGTGAAAACACTAATTTGTGTCGCCCATCCTCAATGTGTAAACTGTTGGTCCAATAAATGGGTGGTTCTCAGCATTTATCACTCACATCAGCTCACTGGTAAAGCTCAAATTGCAAAGATGTTAACCCCCCCATTAACTCGTTCACATGAGAAGGATCTCTTGTGCATAAGGCATACATCTGCAAAAGTTCTCAATTCAAGCCACAAAAACAACTTGAATCACAAAATTAAAAAAGTATGCATTGGTGCAGGCATGCTTGAATCAAATTTCTGGGTCAATTCCTTTATGTATTCATAAACAACACCTAGAACAGATATATCTCCTTTGATAAAATCTGCCCTGTTGACTGTTTCTGCTGATTTAAGTTCTATTGGTGCTCCTTAAAACAGCTTTCCTTGCTGATATTTGTGTCTTGACGAATAGTGGCTATCATGGCAAAAAATTGTAAAAACTGCAAATGTTGCCATTCCTGCAAGCCTATCTGTCTATAAAGCCTGCCATAACCTTGCTAGTTTGAAGATAGATAGTATAGCTGATCCTGATGGATTCTTGCTCCATTTCTTGTCCTCAAATTGGATGCAGCATTTGAAATTATTTTATGCTGGAGAGCATAACATGCTTTCCACCACAATACTACAAAAATGGAATGACAATTATCAATCTGATGTCCAAAAAAGGCATGGGAAGGAAGTTACAAAACTAGTGCCCTGTTGTCAGTATGGTGCCATATTCATCATATATATGGTATGAGAAGAAAGACACCTAATTTTGAACCTAAATATCTTCCATCTTACTGAAGATATTTCATGAAATACGTACTCTGAAGAGGCTGTTATGGTCTCAGTAGAGGTGTGAAGCTTATGCATGTTTGTTCTGCCAAAGGGAGGGTATGAATAGTTTTAAAAGACATCAGTATTTCAATATTGGAGTGTATTCTAGTTTTCTCCATTTCAGTGACTTCACTTTGCTTGCTTCCTTCAAACTGAAGAAAGTAAAAATCTGAAAAAACTTTAAGCAAACTCATTTTTTGATACCATCAGGCATTAGTGAGAAAAAGCTTGTCCATATAATTCTGCAGCAAATAACACACTTGGTCCAGGACAAAAGATTTGATGGATGGGGCAGTGAAAGGCAAGGAGTCAAAGAGAGATGTGTGTATCTGGCCTCTGGCAGGTCATTGTGGGGCTAAATATTTATGATACACTTAAGTGCTGTCAGATGAAGGACAACACTTTCAGTTAGCTGAGAGAGATCCCTTGGGACCTTGCTTATTCTAATTGAACAAAAGAAAGTTTGCAACCCTGATTTTCAAGGAAAATCCCTCCATTCACTATGTCTCAGTTGAGGAGCTTAAATGAAATTTAATGACAGAGGCTCCCCCTTGACTTGTCACATCAAAATTGCAAGTGTGTCTTTTGAGGGTGAATAGACTATACCACAGAAATTAATATTAATGAATAGATCTTTGACCTTTAGCCAATATGCAAAGGTATATCCTCCACTTAACGTTTAGCACAGACTCCTGTCCATTTGCATTTTCAAACTTTTAAAGTAATTGCTCATAGCCTTAATCATGCAGAATGAATACAGAAGAGATTTCAAAAATGCAATGGGAGCATATCAACCTGTGAATAGTGTATGTTTCATAAAAAAATCTATAAGAACAGAGATATATGGGATTATAGTTGGGAGTTTTTTTTTAAAGTTCTCTATGCCTTATCTGGAAGAAGCATTTGCCTCAGTCACATAAAAATTGATCAATAAACTGGGTGAATATAATATTTAAGGCAGCCTTGTGCTGTCTTCCTAACTTTCATCAGTTCAGCCTGGTAGGTGCTTTATGATCCACAATATCCCCAATGCTAGCCCAAGTGCTAGTGCTGCTTATGTACAGGGTGACAAATAATGGACGCTCCCAAAATAAAAATTTATTTCTCGAATTCTACAATAGTTAGGAAGAAAATTCAAATGGTATTGTGAACTTAAACTTAGGGAGATTATGTCATGACATGCTCGATGTGGGTACCCTTCTTTGCAATCATGCGATGCAGTCGAACAATGAAATTCCGAACGACAGCTTTGAGGGTGTCATTTGAAATGTTTTCAATTTCAATCTGGATGGCTTCCTTGAGCTCCTCGATGGTTTTCGGATTGTTTACGTAGACTTTATCTTTAAGGCAACCCCACAAGAAGTAATCGCAAGGGTTGAGGTCTGGGGAATAAGGAGGCCAGTCGATTCCCTTTCCTGATCCTTTGTTGTAATCCAGGGCAATAACCCGATCATCAAAATGCTCCTCGAGGAACTCAAACACCTCGCGCGTGCGATGAGGTCTCGCAGTGTCCTGCATAAACCAACTTTCTTGCCCATTCCCCAATCCTCGTACAACTGGAATGAAATTCTGCGACAGATACTCGAGATATCGCGCAGAAGTGACGTTGCCATCGATAAAAACAGCACCAATGATTCCACTTTCGGAAATGGCACACCAGACAGTCACACGTTGAGGGCAGAGCGATTTCTCAATGGAAAAGTGAGGATTTTCTGTCCCCCAAATGAGCCAATTTTGTTTATTGACGTAACCATCGAGGTGGAAGTGAGCTTCATCGCTAAACCAAACCATTTCGAGATCAATTTCATTATTCTCCATCATGTTCATGACAACAGTTCCAAATTCAAGGCGCTTCTCAATTGCTTTGTCACTCAATGGTTGTTGAGTCTGTATTTTGTAAGGAAAGAGATGCAGATCATGAACCAGAATTGTCCGAACGCTCTCACGACTGACTCCAATCTGTTGAGCAGCTCGACGGGTCGAATTTTGTGGACTCTCCTCGATAATTGCATGCGTTTTCAGCACATTCTCTTCAGTTCTTGCCGTCACTGGCCTTCCCACATTTCCAGCCAAATCATCGGCAACACTCCCAGTCCGCTCAAACTTCCTGAGCAATCTGCTGATCGCTGACTTCACTGGGCCATTTTTCACTCCATACTCTTTACAAAATGCCCGTCTCACTGTCTCTGGACTTCTTTGGCTTAAATAATATTGTTGCACCATGAAAACTTGTTGTGCAATGCAGTTGGTTGCCATTTCCTCAAAAACGTCAACAATGGACAAAAGCCCAATACTGTATGCTGGCGCTAAAAATTTTCCTGCATTTACGGAGTATCCCTAAAAAACTTGAAGTTCATACACCCATATTCAACAAAGATATTAGTGATTCTTATGGGAGCGTCCATTATTTGTCACCCTGTGTGTCATGGATATTCTCTAAGCTGTGAAGGAGCATTTATAAATATAGTATTTACTTCCAGAGATTATACAGTTATAGTAATGCCTTTAAGCTAGAATCATTAGATTTTGAAACTAACATAATTAGAAAATCTCAATCAACATCAGCATGTATTACATTGTCTGCCCGATCTTATAGCCAATTTCCATCTTGTAGACAACAGCTTCATCGTTGTGTAGATGAAAATATCACAATTCACAAATTTTTGTAGAACAATGGTGTGCACAAAATTACTCCAATATCTTTTAGTTTAATTAGAAACTGAAGCATTGATTTTTCAAGCAAGGTTAGGATTTCATTGCAGTATTAATGAGAAATGACATGGATATTGAAACCATTACTGGGGATAATAATATTGAAGAATGATCTTGCTGGGGGGGGGGGGAAGGCTTGCAAAGAAAAATTATTGATACTGCAAGATTCTGAATCTCAAACATCTCAAGACTACTCTCTACCAAGAATGATTATTTGTATTCTGTTTCTTGGCAGGGTCTTTTTCGGCTGCAAAAGCTGAGGCGATTGGGGCTGAGTGACAATGAGATTGGACGTCTGCCTCCTGACATCCAAAATTTCCACAATTTGGTTGAGTTGGATGTGTCTCGGAATGGTATGTTTCCCAAGACTGGACATTTTTCATCCCTCAAAATAAAGGTGTAGGTCTAATGATCAGAGTTACTTTATGTATAGCATGGATAGAAGGTTGCTCATCAGGTAGGTATTCAATGTTTCACAATTTTTATTTGATGGATTACACTCAGAATCACAAAACTTAGAAGTAACCCACCATCAAAGCTAGAACCTGCTCATGAATATTGGAGTGTTTCTCATATGTTGAGTACAGAAGTATAAGCAATACTAGTTGACTTACTTGGAACTGTCTTAGAGAGACAAATCATGAAAAAGTTAAAGAGTTTGACTCTTTTCTGGTCCATATGGATTCACAAACTTTTTATTGGTTTAAGGTTATTTAAAAATATTTTTTGTAATTTCAAAGCAGAGATTTCAACCATGAAGCAAAATATGTAGTTGCCTACTGATAGCAGTATTGGAAGACCTGAACATAACAGGAAATTTGTGTTTCCACCCTCTGCCCCTTTCCTCTTCTTGAAAGGTAAGGTTAGCAAAATTTAATCGCTATGGGGATGGAATGGTAAACTGCTTTTTAAGTACTCATCTTCTTGGAATGATTTTTGTAAGTCACAGGAAAGAAGAATTGAGGAGTTCTCTGGAAAAAGGGCGTATGTGTCCATACGGATGTATGGGCACATACACCCTTTTTCCAGAAAACTCCTCAATTGTAACTACATCGGTCAGTGAGAGCTTAACAGGAGATTTGACATAAGGAGATGCTGTTTTGCTGGTCCATGTAGTTAGGTTGGGATCAAGAACAGTTATCTCCAACTGTACAATGACCTCATGATACTTTTGTAGTGTATCTCTGTTCATTTAATGAATCCTTGACTGCTTTCCTGTGTAGATATCCCTGACATCCCAGACCACATCAAGAGTTTACAAGCACTTCAAGTGGCAGATTTCTCAAGCAATCCCATACAAAGGTATGTTTCAAGTTTCTTAGCTGTGTATCTGACTTGTAGGCCTAGACTTGATAGCAACCCTCAAAGGCTTTTCTTTATTTATTAAAAGGAATAGCTTTTGAATCTAAATAGAATAAGAATTTTGTTGGGGGGGGGGGTCACTTCTCCCCTCTCAAAAGGAAGGAAATAGCGCTTTGGGAGATAAGAATAGCTGGGCAGACATAAAACACCCAAAGGGGTACTTTAATCCATAACAGACTTAACCACTGCACCAGGCTTGGATCAAGCTTTTCTTTAACATTTAATACCTCATGCCTAGATTTTTATGCTTGGATAGATGTAAGGAAGCTCTTGATGTGAGATCTTTTTGAGGCCCTTGAATTGACATACCAGCAACTCCTAGGCTTACAGTACAATCCAGTGCAAATTGATTTGACTTACTCAACTTGACTGAAAGACATCTATGGCTTCTTTCCCCTGTTTCTTCAATTTCTTCATGTTGCATCCCCTCATCCATGAATAATAAAAATTAGATACTACCAGCCCTCTTCAAGATAGTTCCATTTATAATTCATTGAATGTGTCCAAAATACCATGTGTTTCCTTGCATAAGCTTTTATATTCTCTTTGTCTCCCTTTTTTGTTTTTTTTTTGTGATAATGTTCATCTTAGAGATGCAATCTTATTTTACCCAATATAAGCCAGTAAGCCAAAGCCTACTGGCATGGTTAAGCATTGGCCATTGGAGGGTTTGCAGGTATGCTGCATTTCAACATGTCTTTTTGACTTGCTTTCATCTTTGTCTCCTCATATTTCTTATGCATGTCCTTTGGAATATGGTCTTCATGGAAAATGAGATGTTAAATACATATGATCTTGTTTTATAGGCTTCCTCAGGGATTTGTACAACTAAAAAACCTGACAGTTCTTGGCCTCAACGATATGTCTCTGACTTTCCTACCACCTGATTTTGGATGGTGAGTTTTTGATCAAAGGCTTATGTTCATCTTCACCTCTTAGTAAAGTAATTTTCAATCTGTTTCATTCACTCATAGTCTGAGCAACCTGGAATCATTGGAGTTGAGAGAAAACCTGCTGAAAACACTCCCCACTTCCATCTCCCAGTTGACCAAACTTGAAAGACTGGACATTGGAGACAATGAGATTGAAGAACTTGTGAGTCCTTTTTGCTATGTCTTAATAGAGTGACTATGCTGTTATCAACCAGGTAAAGACTACTTTTTTCATCATGCCTTTCCTTCCCACAGCCGGAAGAGATTGGAAAGCTTCCAGTCCTGCAGGAACTATGGTTGGATCATAATCTAATGAGTCATCTTCCTCCTGTGAGTCAGGTCCCTGTTTTGAGTAATTTTGTCAAATTTTGCTTAAATTCATAAAGTCTCTTCTAATTAGATAGAGGCCTGCACCATATTTTGTTGATATGGAGTGCTTCCTGATTTGAAATGCCTGTGCAATCAGATGGTATTATAATACACAGCATATGAACCAGGGCATTTTTTCAGTGCTGATGGGGCTTGTCTCAGGTGAAATGTGTAATTTTTATTTTCATCTCTGTCATCATCAGGAAATTGGTGAACTGAAGCAGTTGACGGTCTTGGATGCTTCAGAGAACCGACTTGAGGAACTTCCTGAAGAAATTGGTGGACTAGAAAACTTGACTGATCTTCATCTCAGTCAGAACTACCTGGAGCGACTTCCAGATGGCATTGGATGCCTTACACGCCTTACTATCTTCAAAATTGATCAGAATCATCTTGTTGAACTCAATCCAGCAATTGGAAAGTGAGGAAAATGTCATTTTTTGACTCTCAGAAACAGTGAATGTAGAGTGTATGGAGAAACATGGCTCTGTGTTTGAATGTTTTGCAGGTGTACAAATTTGCAGGAATTGATCTTGACTGAGAATGCTCTCATGGAACTCCCCGTCAGCATTGGGAACCTTGTGAAACTGACGAACCTCAATGTTGATCGCAATAGGCTTTTCAACATCCCTTCCCAAATAGGTATGTGTACTCTTTAATCAGCTGCCTTACTTAAGACCACAATTTCACTTATAAAATGACCCAATGGATAAATTGAATGCTAAAAAGGATATATGTGAGGAATGGAAGTGTTAGCATGAAGTATATGTCATGATCATCTTGATTTCACAGGGAATCTGACACAGCTTGGGGTCTTGTCTTTGAGAGAGAATAGACTTCAGTCCCTTCCACAAGAGCTTGGCAATTGTGCTGAACTCCATGTTCTTGATGTCTGTGGCAACAGGTGAGGCACAGTGGTATAGCATAGTGGCATATGCTACCTGAAGTTGAATAACTTGGAATGATAAGGAAACCTGCCTTTTCATCCTTTCCCATTTATAAACATTCCTAATTTACTATCCTTGTTTAGGGAGGTGCAGTGGAAGAAGAACTAAGCCTAACAAGATTTACTGTGTTCATAATTTTTCTTTTTGGTTCTGGTGACATGTTACTATTGTTTAATGGGAATAAGATCCATTGAGAAACTGTCATAAGGCTTTTTTAAATGATCAAGGGACTGAAGTTAAATGTTGCAGCAAATGGACAAAAAAAGTGTGTATGTGGACTTTAGTTTAACCTCATAGTTAAAGGGTATGCAGTAGTTTGGCTATAGTCAAATGTCACAGCATCAGGGTTAAGTCTCAGGCTGTGGCTATTAACTCTTGCTAGCCTGCTTTTACTGTGCTCTCCTTAAACTTTCTGAATCTTATTATGATTCACATTTCCTACCTGGCTGCTTCATGTCCATTCATGACTTTTGACAGTTATTTTTTTTAAAGAGATATATTCATTCACAACAAGTACCTAGTTCTCTTGGTATTGGGAATCATTTACTTTAATCTCTCTCTCATGTTTCTTGGCATATTATGTTTTAAATTTAATTTTGTTGGTATTTACAGCCCAAAATTCTGTTCATGCCATTGTCAAGATCTCCCCTCCTGAAGTTTTGGGTTTGAAAGTGATATGTTGAATGAAACATCTAGTGTTGAATATTTAAATAATTTTTTTCACCCCCAGGTTAAAGCATTTACCAATCACTTTGGTGAACCTGAATTTGAAAGCTGTGTGGCTCTCAGAGAATCAAGCTCAGCCTCTGTTGAAGTTCCAGAGTGATGTTGATGAAGAAACAGGCGAGGAAGTTCTGACTTGCTTCCTCCTTCCACAAATTGATGTTTCTGTCCCTGGTAAGTGACTCTTGAATATTTCACTATCCATTTTTAGGCATTATAAAAAAAAAATTCCACTTTCAGTCAAGATGTGACTCATACTGTTTCACTTTAATTTTTGCCTTGCAGAGGATTCCTCCATTGGACGCCTTTATAGATCTGGGAATGAGTCTCTCACTCTTGAATTAGATGGGACTATGGAGGTGGATGGATTGGAGGCTACACGGCAGAGCATAGTGAAGTTCCAAGATGAACCAGAATCTGAGGATGATAAAGAGGCAAGCAAACTGATCAATTCATTAATTGCATCTTATGAAAGTTATAAAGGATTCATCCAATAGCTTATCACTTAAAGTAATAAATAGAAAAAAAACTGGGAAAGAGTGGAAGTATTAGTACGAGGTTCATTCGATAATTATTGGCAACACTGTAATTAATCAAAAAGTATTTATTGTAGAAACCTGAAATTTTACATGCCTTCGATATAATCTCCTGCCTTGTCGCAGACGCGCTGCCACACCTCTGGGAGACGTCTGACGCCGTTAGCAGCGTCACTTTTGGTGATATCCGCGATCGCCCACCTTATCGCTGTTACGACTTCTTCTGTCGTCTTGAAACGGATGCCTCGTAGGGGTTCTTTCAATTTCCGGAAGAGGTCGTAATCGCAGGGGCTCATGTCCGGCGAGTACGGCGGATGTTCCAGTATCTCCCAATCCCACTTTTTGAACAGGTCGGCTACTGTGTTGGCCACGTGACACCGAGCGTTGTCGTGCAGCACGATAGGGTGTGACTGCAGAAGATGTGGTCGCTTACGGCGCAGTGCAGGGCACAGATGGTGTTCCAGAAAGTTCCGGTAATGACAGCGTTTACCGTGGTTCCGGAGGGGACAGCATGAGTCAGGAGAACGCCCTCGTAATCGTAGGCAACAATCAGCATGACCTTTACATGGCCTGCCTCCTGTCGAAATTTTCGTCGACGAGGTGACCCTTGGCGACGCCACTCACTTGACTGCCTCTTTAATTCAGGTTCATACGAACGGGGCCACGTTTCATCCATGGTTATGATCCGTCGAAGGAAGGCTTCACCCTCGCGTGCATAACGATCCAAATGCAATCTGGCGGTTTCCATGCGTTGCCACATATGAACTTCCGTCTGATTGTGTGGGATCCATCGCGCGCAGATTTTCCGCATTCCCAGCGTTTTCGTTAGTATTGCATGGATTGTGGATGACGCAATACCAACCTCACGTGAAAGTTCAGTGCATGTCCATGGTCGGTCTGTATCCAATAAAGCCCTCACAGCGGCGACGTGGCTTTCATCCTTGGCTGTGACGGGTCGTCCTGCTCCAGGTTTGTGTTCCCCACTTTCTCTCCCACTTCGAAAGGCACGCACCCATCTTGCCACGGTTCTGTATGGCAGGGCTTCTTGTCCACAGGCCTCTTGCAGTCCTTTGTGACACTGAAGTGCATTTCGCCCTCGAGCAACCTGGATTTTAATGAAGCAACGTTGCTCGTACCTACTGAACATGCCTTAGGGCGGTTTCACGTGACAACTAATGTTTCATACCACTGTTGCAGCACTAACAATGAGCGTATACTTGCAAAAACAGACTGATGCATGTAGCGTGATTCACTCTTTCACACACAGGCTGTTTCCTGCCAACTCCAATATGGAGCGTTGCACTGCTGCAGTGTTGCCAATAATTATCGAATGATCCTCGTATAATAAGCTGTCCGCTGTTTGCCCCATGGGTCATTCCATGTCAAATCGCCCAGTGGGGCGGTGGATTTTTATGGGGTACCCTCTCAGAATTTAATGAAAATTAGTGTGTGGGATACCTTAGCGAAAGAAAAATACATTTCATTTATTTCCACTCTCTGAATAAAAGTCCATAAGTTATGCGCATATGAAATTTCAGGGGCGGAGCTCAACTTCCCTGGGAATATGGGGATAAAAAAGTAAGTTATGGTCTGATTCCGACAAACAAGGAATCCTTTAAAAGGGGAGACTAGGGGGATTCCAAATGCGTGATTAAAACAGAGATTCAAACATATTTTGACCTTTTAGCACATATGAGTGACCTTTGACCTTGAACATGAACTTGTGGAACCGAAGCCAGACGGAAATCACTTTTACAGTCGAGGCACATATATCTTAACTTGAGTATGGCAAAGTTTCATAGATGCAATCTTTTTTGTTCAGCAAATAAGTTTTAAGCCACGTCCTGTCCACAGGCCCCAGGGATCTCCCAGGGTATTAATGAAAAAAAAACATTTTGTCATTTTTTCTTATTAAGAAGTAAAGAGCTCATAATCGGGAATCATCAAACCTCACCTACCAAGGTGTTCGTACGAAGTTAGTAAGTGGTATTCATAAACTGTTTTTGCTCAAGATACTCGTAAGATACTCGTACACAGTTCGTTAGAATGTTGAGGTTGTCCCAAAAGTCCCTGTACAACTTCGAAATTATATTAGAAGTTAACCGTAAGAGTTAGAATTAATCTGTTTATTTGAAACCTTCTCTCTAGTTTAACTCTCTGAAACTCACTAGTTTAACATAAAAACGATATGCATGCCACTCGTGGAAAATGTTACGTCATGAATCGGAGACAATGTTGATTTGAATGTTGCAGGAAAGCCGGCGAAAGGATATCCGGAATGTCTCCAAAGCGCAAAGGGAGAGGTATATGTGGGGACAATGAGGAAGACAGAGACCGAAAAAGAATGCTATTTGTGGGATTCTAAACCCTATGGAAAGACTGACGACTTCGATCCTTCCAGAAGCTACGAGGATCACTTCCCAGACAATCATGATAAAACAACTACAGCAGCAGAAAACTTTTGCAGGAATCCAACTTCATCAACCTGGATTTTAATGAAGCAACGTTGCTCGTACCTACTGAACATGCCTTAGGGCGGTTTCACGTGACAACTAATGTTTCATACCACTGTTGCAGCACTAACAATGAGCGTATACTTGCAAAAACAAACTGATGCATGTAGCCTGATTCACTCTTTCACACACAGGCTGTTTCCTGCCAACTCCAATATGGAGCGTTGCACTGCTGCAGTGTTGCCAATAATTATCGAATGATCCTCGTAGACAGAAGTTTTAGTTTGGAGGAATGACAGTTTCCACTTGATATGAACAGGTGCCACTCAGCAGATGTATATTGTGTAAGACTAACCACAGTATTTGTTATTTGAGCATTAACTTTTTTTTCTTCTTTAGTATATTTGTTATATATAAGGTGTCATATGTCATGTCTTTGCATTTCTCTCCTGACAGACTCATTTTGTCCGTCATAATACACCTCATCCGAAAGATTTGAAAGCAAAGGCACACAAGTTGGGACTTGTTGGCCGCAAAAACATCGATGGCCCAGTTGTGAAACACAAGGACCATGATGAGGTCAGTACTTTGAATGCTTACAGTACAGGAATTTTTTTTTATAGTGATGGAAACATTCTACAGATGTGTTGTGTCTAGAGGGTTTAGTAGCAATTGCTTGTTATGAGTTGACACAATAAGCCATGTATGAGAATGTGTATATATAGCTTACATTTCTCTGGTTAATAAATGTGTATTCACCTAGAATATAAAGTAGTAGTGTTTCACCCTTCAATGTGAACTCAGCATTGAAAACTCTTTCATGCTTTTATCAGTAAGGAAGTTTTTGATGGCAGCAAATAATTTGTGAGGAAGTGTGAGATTTCTGCATTTAATAAGCCACAATGCTTCAAAAAATTATTTTTAACCTTTTGTAGTCTACTTTTGGACAGGATCCAACATTATTTTCCCATTTCCAGTCATTAATCAGACTCCACCCACCATCAGTTCTCCAAACTCCAGTCCAGTTAGGTGAGGTGTGACAATGCTGATACCTTGTTGGAAAATAAAAATTGAGCCAGGTTTGCATGCTTCAGAATTTTCAGCTCCAATTAGAGTTTATGCTTTAGAAAAATTTGGTTAATCAGCTAAGGGCCCATGGCCATGATCTGCATAGATTCCAAAAAACAAACATCAAGAAAAACTATTTCCTTTTTGTGTCACCTGCATTAGTATGTAGTTAATTACTGCTATTTTTGTCTGCTTCATTACCCTGAGATTCATCTATAAATGACACCTTGATGTAAGCACATCACATGGGGATTTGTGTAACAGTTTTATGATTTCTATGTGATTTTCTTTCTTGAAGATTGCACTTCATATCTTCCTTTAACTATGTTGTCCTTGTATGGCATGGTATCTATACATGATGATTGTCTGTTTTTATTCCTATGACCAGGACAACCATGTCAATTCTTTCCGTCCACAAAGGCAAGAGAGTGATGCATCTGATTCTAGTTCACCCATCCCTCCAGAGAAGAATGTGAGCAAACATTCCTGTCATGTCCACCCTCTTTGGGAAATCTTGATCTATTACTGATCTATTACTGATCTGACCTTTACAGTAACTGAAATTCAGAATCATCAAATTGGATCCTGTCACAATGAGTTCATCTCACAGAATCTTTACTGCGAGTCCCAAATCATTTAGAATGGGAGACTTTTGCAGCAGAAGTAAAGTGCAAAGTCTTTAAGAGCACGTTATTTGGAATATAGCTGTAATTCAAGCTTTATGTGAAGTTCAGAATTTGTTTTAGAACATTTGACCTTGCTCTTGGAATTTGAATGGAAGAAATATTTAAATAGTAATAATTCTTTGAAGGACAGTGCTGCCCAATGTAGACATGAGACTAGACTATAACAGCTTCTACAAGAAATATTAGTTCATTGTGGAGTCTGGTCAGAGTTTCCTTATTGAAAAGCAAAGGTAGCACTCTCATTAAATGAAAAATTCTGGTCATATTTCTGTTTTTAAAAATTTTTTTTATACATGTTTGTGAGAATTACTTGCAATTACATGTAATTCTCATACAGTAATAACATGTGTAATAAGAAAAAAGTATAAATTTGCTATGGAAACATTCTGTTTGATGGTTTGATGAGGTCCAGAATGTAATGTGTTATGTATATACAGGGTGGCCCAAAGAAAAGGGCACTTTTCAATGCACATATTAAGTGTGATGCTTTCAAGGAAATTTTTGCCAGCTACATGTAATGGAAAGAAGAAAGACTTAGCTATAAAATAATTTTTTCAGACTTGAAATATCTTTTTTTAATGGTGACTTGGAAACAAATGATTGAAATTCAGTAATGAAAAACTGGCTTTGTGCTCAATGACTGCCAATGGCAGCAGGCATATCCAATCATCCTTGTGATGTCTGCTTAGGTCAGTATTTCCCTTCTTGTGAGTGTGAGTGTCAGGCTGTCGGGGATGTTGGGCAACACTGATTTTTCATTACCAAATGTCAATAATTTTTTTCTAAGTCACCGTTTAATAAGATATTTCAAGTCTGAAAAAAAGCATTTTGTAACTAAGTCTTTCTTCTTTCCATTACATGTAACCAGCAAAAATTTCCTTGAAAGCATCACACTTCAAATGTGCATTGAAGTGTGTGCCTTTTTTTGGGCCACCCTGTAGAAGTGTTTCAGATCATACTTGAAAGTTCTGAATCATCATTCTGAGGTGTGCCCTTTTGACTTTTCTGCATGCTTGACTTTACTTACTTAAATTTTAAGACAAAAGCAATGATTGCCTGGTTTTGTTCCTATTTGACAAGAGAAAATGTTACTAGATGGTGCTATGTGAATGGAGGGATGTAGTTGTGTATATTTTGAACAGTATAGTCATGGTGAATTTAATCAATATATTACAGGTACTGTTCAATGATCAAGTTGCCCATAAAGTATAAAGGTGAATTTTCATTTACCTTAATATGTGGACAATTTTCAGGTTAGGTGCAGGACACCACTTGTATCATGAAACCTATGCTGTTTCCAATCTGTAATTCGAATGATGAGAGGTTTTCATTGAACCATGTTGGAGAAAATACTTTAAAATTCATACTCCTGGCATTGAATTCATGGCATGAATTTTACCTCGTTCCTGAATTCATCTGGTTTATTTTCATGCTCTTGTCCAGGTACCAAAAGTGCCACCAGCTCCTATTCCATCTCCAAAGACATCTCCTAAAGTGCAACAAGAGGAGCAACTGCAGGAGGCAGCTGAGCATCCAACATCTGCTGAATGTTTGCAACCCTCACCAGTTGTTCCCATGCCTCAGGAACCCCCCAAAGCTTTGAATGTTTCCCAGGATGAATCTGATTTTGGGGGTGTGTCTGACACTCTGGACAACAGCTTGGAGTTGGACACTACTAATGAAGATCAAGAGGTCAAGGTAACTTCATAAGGAATTATTTATTCAAAATCTGTGAAATCCTGGGGTGGAGGAAATATGCACATCTATTGATGAATAGCAGGACCATTCAGCAGCAGTTGAATGGATATACAGTGATGGATTATCCTGTGCTAGAGTATTAGAACTAAACTACGGGGCAGGGAGTGCAAAAGTTGCACTACCTATGCATTTTAAATTCTTATTCCCCTTTGGTGTGAAAGTTAGAATGAGGAACCAAAAGGATGAGTCTAGCTAAAATTCTGTCTTGCAACTCATCCTAGTGTGCATAGATCCTGACTTCAGTATTGATGCAGTTTATGCATACTATAGGGTTGGCCAAAAAAATTAAAGATGCATGAAACTTCAGCAGCTTTTCAAGAACATATTGGAAAGCATTCCTTTAAATTTTCATATCAATCCATTAAAAAATATGGATTTTATAGCAAAATTAGAAGTGGCTTACTTTTTTTTTGGTCAATTCTATAGAATGAGGTCATTTCCCAGATAGACTAACAGGGCCACTGAATAGGAACCATAGTGATTCATAAAAAAAAGAAAAGTTTTCAGGGTCAAATGTTGGAATAAGGTCAAATAGACAAGGAAATTCAATTGCATCACTGTGCTGCTTTGGAGCATCAAAAGCAACACAAGGAAAGTCAAATGTGACAGTTACACAAGGTATACCATACCCATGTTAAGAGGAATGCCTTCTTGTTGCATTTTCACAATATCAGGTGCATTAATATACAGTCAACGTTCAATATAACAAACTCGAAGGGACAGGCTAAAAAAAATTCGTTCTAAAGAAAATTCATTATAGGGAATTCCTCTCATTTCACTAAAGAAAAAAGAGATGTTAAACTTTTGTCAATATCACTTCAAAAGGTCACAGTTTAAAAAAGCAAGTTGTCATCCATTCATAAAATAAGTTTGAAATTTTAAGTGCTTGCAATATCAAAAATCCAGCTCTCAAGAGTTATGTATATACCTAAATGGGTATCTAAATTATGTATGATAAAAATTGGATGAGTCAGCAATGCTCTCTATTCATTGGAAATAAAGCCCCAAATGGTTGTCTGCCATCCTTCTTCCTGGATAACTCTTCGAGCTGTGACCTGCAGAGCACTTAATGTTTGAAAAGTTTCAGGCTCAACATTCGGCTTCTGACTGGAAAATGATTGAAGAACTTTGTAATACAGTGCAGTTTTGTTCATTTGGTTGAAAAAATGACAGTAAAATTTAAAAATTCATTACACAGAACTTCATTATAGAGAAACTTTTAAACATGCCTGTGAATGAGCAAGTGTCCAGGAACTTGATAAAATTTTGCCGTAAAGAAAATTCATTATCTAGAGGTTCATTATATTGAGCGTTGACTGTATGATGCTCCTTTTGAAATTAATCTTATTTGGAAATTACCAATATGTCAGGGTTAGTCATGGGAATATTTTACTGCCAACATTTAGGAGGGGAGGCTAGATTTCACAGGTCAAAAGCTGAGAGGAAAATTTGGGGCTCTCCTTAACCCTTGGAACGCCAAGATCATTTGCATCCTGCGAAATGCCAAGATCGGGTCATTTTTTACCCATATATATTTCTCGTAACGAATGAGGTTTTTGTTCAGAATAGAAGCTACACAAAGAATTCTTTGTACATTTGTTCTTCGAAAATCAGAAGCCATCAGGATTTGAATAAATATTTGATTAATGTATTGTGTGAATTTCGTTAGTTCAGAATCATTAATATGTGAGAAATGCTGTCTCAAAGTTGGTGTTGATTTGGGGGCTACCTTACCCAAATTGGAACCTCATTAGCATAATACTAATTACATAATCGAAATGGAAGACGTTCCTTTCACTTTCCAATGATGTACTATTCTCACTCCAATCTTCATTGGGGTCAAAGTAGCCCTAAAGGGATCCTGCTACCTTAACTCTCGACTGGTATTCTTTTTTTCATTGTGTAAGAAGTATTGTGGGGTCAATTGACCTCAGGAATAAAAATCTTGATAAAAATGAAAGTTTTATTTTTAGATGAATACTAATTTATAATGGCAGTTTCCTGGCTACCTTCACTGCAATGAAGTAGCATGGTGGTAGCATATTCCTGGGACTAACCCTGACATCAATTGCCAAAGGAGCATCATATGTTAATGCACCTGAAGCTGCAAGGAGTGAAAATGCAACAAGAAGACATTCTTCTTAACATGTGTATTTTGTGCATCTGTCACATTTGACTGAGAAAACCTATAGTTACAGGAAGGAATTGAATCATGATGTGTTGTGTGGAATGGGGGAAAAATTCCACCTCATCTCTGTAGACTTTAGGCATGAGCAATTAAAGTTGAACATAGGTGGCATAATTTGGACTATTGGAAACTGTTTTTCCATAGGCTACCTTTAAGCATCACCTTGGTTTGGCCAATGAAAGAGCTCATGTACCAGGTTATGCAAAAAAAAGTTTAAATTCTGGATGTTTTGATGTGACCAAGGACAATTTAGCTGAGCCATACTAAATACTGTAATTGATTGTTTAGGTGTCTTGCTGCAACTGGGAGAGTGGATGAACCATAACCAAAATTTCCTATATTCTTCCTTCACAAATTATCTGCTGCTTATGGGTATCTTTTATGTTAACCTTACTCACCATGCATTCCATATATTCTCTTCAGTGGTTCCAGAGCAATAAGACATGGGTTCATTGTGCAGATCCATGCTGATGATATCCCATGCAATCAACAATGATTAGTTAGATAAACAAAAGATTGAAAGGAAATGAGTAGTTGAAATGAAGATTAAGCTTTTGGTGGTTCCTTTGTCTCAGCCATGCAATGCCCTGTTACACAATTTACCAGGTGGATCATTCTATCACAAGTGTGGCAATGGTCTGTGCTTGATTATTTCAGAATTTAAGCCTGCAACTACCAGAACCTGGATGCTTATATGTTTAACTCTTTGTTTCATCTCTTCATTCCTGAAGAATCTCTTCAAAATACTTTGCCTAATTACTATCACAGGTCCTCATGAAATGCACAGCCCACACAAATGGCTAAATTTTTGTATCAGGGTCCATTGGACCCAGAATGGTAGTTATAAGGTTAACCCCCTAACTTTATCCACTTTCCGAAAGTTTGTCAGTGATATTTATAGCCTAGTAAAGGTGAGTGTTAAATACAGTTAGTAGAAAACAGAATGCATCTCAATACTCTGAAATAGTACAAAAGTAAAAAGAAAATTTATGTATTCATCAAAACTGCACTATAGTTGAAAGGACATGTGAATGGTTATGGGAATAGTTCACTAGGTACGAGTGGACTTCCTGGACTTCTTCTTTTGGGTGTATGTTAAATCCAAGGTATACCAGGTATAGAACACAGCTCTAGATCATCTCCGTGAATGCATTGCTCAGGTGTTTGCAAGCATTGATGGTGAATTGTTCAGGATGTTCAGGAGGATTTGATCTATTGTCTGCAAATGTGTGCTAAATTGAATTGAGCCCATTTTGAAAATTTATAATATAACCTTATGGTTCCAGACTTTGTGGACACGTTGTACATTAGGCCTATAAATGCAATTGCCCTTCAGGTAAACAAACTTGCTATGGTTGCACCTTTAGCACCCCATTATCCAGGATAGTGATTAATTCAATAATTCATTTTCGAAGTGGCAAAAACTTTTTAAAAGTATGTCTCTGTCAAAATAGGTGCCATGAGGGGACGTAATGAAGATTTTTATCTAAATCATTACTCTGATGATTTGTGTGCCTAACTTCAAATCTCTTTATGTGCCCCTTTTTGTCAGAGCAGAAAATATAGGTTTTCCATGTCAAATGGATATAAAAGAAAGTCATATGTGACATGGAAAGTCTAATGTGTTGCTGTGCTGCTTGGGAGCATCAAAAACAACATTAAGGAAAGTCAAATGCATTGCTGTGGCAGATATTGGATTTTGGGGAAAAGCTTGCTTGACATAGGAAAGTCAAATGCAACAGATGCACAAGGTATACCATACCTGCATTAGAGGGATGCCTTCTCATTGCATTTTTGCAACATGCAGCTCTTAGTACATTTGCATATGATGCTCCGACTGCAAATAACATTATTTGGTAAAAATCAAAACATCAGGATCAGTCCTGGGAATATGCTGCCACCTTGCTGTTTCACTGCAGTGAAAGTAGCCAAGAAACAGTCATCATAAATGACTATTCATCTAAAAATAAACTTCACTTTATTGAGATTTGTATTGCCTATTTTGATCCCTTGATACCAGTTATGCAAAAAAAAAACAAAAACAGTTGAGGGTTAACCCTTTCACTGCCAAGGATTTAAGTGCCCATCCAACCTCTTCTTGCCTAGCATGGCATGGTTTGTTACACAGAACATGCCATATGGCATGAACAGCAGTGAAAGGATAAAGGAGAGCCCCATATCTTCCTCTCAGTTTTTTTTCATATGTGGAATCTGGCCTCCCACCCCAAAAATGGTTGGTGGTTGGATATTCCTATAACTAACCCTGACATATTAGTGAATTGCCAAATAATATTAATTGCAAAAGGAGCAATAAATGTGCCAGAAGCTGCACGTTGTGAAAATGCAACGAGAAGGCAATTCCCCCAAAACAGGTATGGTACACCTTGTGTATGTGTTGCTTTTGAGTTTCCTATGTTGAACAAGCTTTTCCCTAAAATCCTACTTCTACCACAGCGGCACATTTGACTTTCCGTCACTTATGATAGGCAACCCACCCAAAATCTGTATCCTGAGGGGATGCACCACAAAAAATGATTTTTTCCTGAACTCAACATCTCAGTTATGTGTGTGCCAGGTTCCACCTTTCTACAGGGTGTCTGAAAAGTCACTCCCTATTTTTAAATTGTTATTGCTCCTATACTAAAGGAGATATTAAAACATTTCTCTAACTGAATTGAAGCTTATTTTTTACTGTTTACTTTATTACAAAATTAAAATTCAATGTAGGCTCCAGCATTGCCCACACACTTCTGTAACCTTACCAGTACATTTTCAACAGATTTTCTCAAGAAGTCACATTACCAAGAACATCACAAATTTTGTTTTCAAGTTCATCAATGGTCCTTGGTTTTAATTTGTAAACCTTCTCTTTGGCCTTGGTTTTAATTTGTAAACCTTCTCTTTGGCCCAGCCCCACAGAAAGAAGTCATATGATTTTAAATCTGGACTTCGAGCAGGCCATTCTGTTGGCCCTTAAGTTGCTCAGTCTTCCATGCTTAATTTTTCAGCCATTATTCACCATTATTCAAAAGAAATGGTAATGATTAAGCTAAACAGTGAAAGATTGGTTACAATATCTCCTTTAATTTAGGAGCAATAACAATTTTAAAATAGGGAGTGACTTTTCAGACACCCTGTATTTCTGCCTGATTCACTAGGTCAAAAAAAATTATTTTAAAAAGGTCAACTTCCAAAAAATACACACCCAGGGGATGTATCTGAAATGTGACATTTTTTGGAACTCAGTATCTTAGTCAGTGTGCTCATACTAAGTTTGAGCTTTCTAGGTCTCACTATTTGACTGAAGCAAATAAATTTCTTTGAAAACATCTCCCCCAAAAATATGTGCCCCCAGGGCATTTACCTCCATAGTCTGAATTCAGAAAACAGATTCAGGCAACCTATGTACCAAGTTTTAGATTTCTAACTTCTCTAGAACTAGGTTAGAATCAGCACCAGTCAGTCATGATCATCTATATATTAGATGAAAAGACAAGATGAGACACTCAGATGATTTTCTATATCAAATGCAGGGTTTCTATTTACCTATTGGCATGTGATTTATAAGAGATACTTCAGGGATTTGAAAAAGGCCCAGTTCTGGTTGGGTTGCCTTGAATTCCCAGAGGCTTCACCATGTTTTATTTGCATAAAGGAACTGCTCTTTTGATTCTTTATTTTCCTCTAACTTTTGCAGTTTTTTGATGGTGGTGAACGTAGAGTGGGCTTCTCCTTGACTGAGGCACCTGCTGAGAAGCAAAATCGATTGCATAGAAGAGATACACCTCATCACCTGAAGAACAAACGAGTAAACCTCAACATGAACACTGCAAAGATGGATCAAGAGAAGGTTGCAAGCATTATAGCTCAGGTGAGATATCCTTCCTTATTTATGCATCAATTGATACCTTTTGTCAAATGAACTTATTCATGGCTAACATCTGTATAGACCTGATGAATTTTCATAGTAGTTTCAATTACCTAAGTATGCATTTCTATATCTCCTTTTTCAGACCATTCAAACGAAGCCCTATGAGAATGAGGGTGTGTCGAGCACACATCCATATATGGGTATCCCAAATGCAGTCCATGTGGCAAACTCCACTGTCTCTGAATCAGAGTCTGACTTACTGCCTGGTAAGTCACAGATCTTACAATCAGAAAGTTCTAGTTGGAAGGTGAAATAGACCTGTGTGCTTCTTTGCACAAGTTAATAAGGCCTATTTATGTGATTATTGATTAAAAGTGCAGTCCTTTACAAGATTCATTTTTCCAATCTCCTTGAAGCACAAGACAGGACTGCTTGAATATTTTTTTTCATGACTGTATTTGTCTTCTCAGGCATAGCTGCAGTGTTTCTATATATGACATTTTATGTTGTTTTTCAATATAGTGGATAAAGGAGGCAGTTTTATCTTATCAGTGTTGAGGAGGGGAAGTACTCTTAGATAAGAATGCTGCATTCCTCTATATTTGGTTCTTCCCTGGTTATCCTGCATGTGTACATATTCTCACTGCTCCTCTGGTTCATCATGGATGTTGAGAGCAGTGTTGTGTTTATTGTGGTTGTTTTTCATCATTGTCTTGAAAGTAACACAATAGGTGCTGCTTTATTGGGAGTATGTTACAGTATTCAAAGATTCATGGGTACTGACTTGGGCTGACAATGATTATTAGGTATAGTTAATTTCAAGTCAGTGTTTTACTTAAACATGAGATAGATCTACTCTAGGCCTATGTGTGATTGCCATCTCCTTATAATTATTCCATTGAGCTCCTATGAAGATAGATTTTGGTCATTTAATTCCAGTAGTGACTGTTTTTTTTTGCACAGGAAGGTATGATGTGATTCATGCTTATGGTAAATTAAAACCAGCTTGAATAAATTTACCAATGCAATGTCCAGAAAAACATGAGTTGTAATAATTACCACAGCTTGCTCTGCTGTTAATGGTGTGTAGAGGGTAGGATGAAGTAAACTATTGAATAGAAGAATATGGCAATGTAAACAAACTGGCTAATTCTTATGATGGAGCTGCACAAAAGCTGTATCTAGCTGTGTTAGTCACTGTCTGACATTCCCTTAGTGGTGTTAGTTGGAAAATGGCAAATATTGAGCCATGTCAAGTGGACAAAATTACATGAAGATGTTTGAAATATTGACTGGGATATATGTGGGAAAAAAATGTTTTTTTTTGTTGTTTATGTATCCCAGTCAGGTGGGAACCCCAAAAACTTGGGGGTTCTAAGAAACTGGTAAATCCAAATTTCAGTTTTTTTTTAAAATTATTTTTAGGTCAAGCAGTCAAGGGACATATCAAATAGATATGTCCCCTTGGGTTTTGGAAGTGAGGGGAGGAGTGACTCCTTGGAAGAAAAAAAACACCATCAGTTGAATTGTTCAAGCAAGAAGGCTGGTTAATAGCTCATTTCAAATGTGGAAAGCAGGCAATTCTTCCGTAATTAATCAGTTTTTCTGCATCTCAAGGGAAACAAAATTTGAATTTAAGGAATTTTTTTATTTCGTAAAGTAACACCCCATCAAATTTAATGAAAATGAAGTTGTTTATACATCTTGCTTTGGGATCTCTTTCATGCATAATTAGACTATTCCAATTCCACCTTTCAAAAGTTATTGCCATGACTCCAGAATTTCTGACTCAAATTCTAATCTCATTTTTGGAAGTTTGGCCAACTTTTTCCTGCATTACGTTGGTTGGTTTCGTGTATAAATATGATTCTTTCGGGAAATGGTAGGTCATTGAGTTCTTCAGAGATGAAGTGGTTTCAGGTTGTTTCTCTGACAAGCTAAATACGGGGATTCCAAAAAATCTTCCATCTTCAAGCATAATTTACCTTGAAGCATTTAATGAAAAAAGTCTGTATCAATGCTTCAGCATCAACTGGCATTGGTCGTCAAAATGGCATCATTACACCATCGGCAGGTGTTAGCGCTCTCGATGCCGACGCCAACTCTCCCCCGCGCCGGTAGAAAAAGAAGAAAAAAAAAAGAAGCGTGCTCACATACACATGTAGCCTAGCGCCGGATACCCTAGTTTCTTTTCCCAGAAAAGAACAGATGCTTTCTGCCGCTTCAATGCAAACATACAAAATCAACATAGTTGTGGCATGATAATATCTCTGTGTCCGGGACATGGATCTAATAATGGAATCAATCATGTCCCTGGACAGCAGTCCGGCGGCATGCTTGATTTCAGAATTAGATGCGGTCTGTTCCGAGAAAACACAAGCTTTTACCGATTCTGGGCTCTTCCAAGCAACTGTAATCTATGCACTACATTAGCCGACGGAGAAATCTCTTACAGCAGCTGAAATCTGCGTCGAATTGAATGCTGACTCCGGGCATCCCGTCAATCTTCCATTATCTTATCAGAAAATATGTAGGCCTATGGCCTAGAAATAGGATACGCCTTTTACGGCGGAAACTACGTTTTTATGTGATGCTTAACAAGAGCGTGACTTCAGCCACTCTCGGCCATAGCCTCAAATGATGGCATTGATTATTCTGCCACACTTAAGTATTCTTTTCTTCCAATAAACTAGAACGTGCCTCCGACCTACTCCTGCTCAAGAGCTGGTATGGAGATGCAGGGCTTCATAAACTGGCGTGAAAAAGTTGATAACACAGTGCAGATGATTGAATAATGATTTGTTGGCATTCTCCCCTCCCCCATTCGTCCCAGTTGGCACTAACACGACACCCGACGCCGACCGATGTGTGTGAGATGACCGCCATCGGCCGAAGACTGCCATTGGTATAGCCCTCGAAAAAATACCGACTGGAGACCATAACAAAATTTGTCAGCTATCACTCATACCACGAAATGTAGAGTTAGCCTGTCATAATCGCTAGGATAGCAATGAAATGTTAAGCAGTCTATTTTTGCTCTGGACTTAATGCACCCTTTAGCCTGTGTGGATGTCAGTCACCAATTAGAGCTGCCAGTTCTCATCCGGCCTTTGTAGCTGAGGGATCTCATGTTGAGTAGTGTGCAGATGTGGGCTCACTTGATAGCATAGATGTGGTTACCAGCTGAACATGCTTATCTCTTTTTCTTCTTTATGTCTGCTCTGTGTTACCATAGCATTGGATCTCTACATTACAATATCTTGAAAAAAAAAATAAATGATGATATTTGGGTGGTATGATCTGATCATACTGTGAAATCTATAGTGACTAGAGTTATAGTGATCACTAGAATGTACTTGTAGCTGGGCTGGTAGTCAAGTTTCACCTTGACATTGCAGCTCACACTTGGCTGTGACGTAGAGGAATCTCATGTATTTGCAAGTGCATGCATGAGGTTGTGACACCTTAGAAGCACAGTGTGGATGCAGGTGCAAAAGGAACGCTCACTCCTGCATTCTGGTCATATGTGCAACCAATATAAGTCTTGGTACTGATATGGTTCAGCATCTCTCTCTCTCCCTCTCCCTCTGGGCATTCTATTCCTTTTGTTTTTCTTCTTTCTTCTTTCTCCTCCTATCTTTCTCTCCTTTAATGCACAGGGTGCTTCTATAATTATTTTTAAGGACTTCATGACTCATGTGGAATCTCTAATTCCTTTTATGGTTATGATTCCAGTTGGCTCTGGGCTTTGAAAGCCAAACTTCAGTTATTATGAAAAGGTTCCAAAATAGGGGGAAAGGAGCTACAGAATGAGACAGGTGACATGATATGCTCTTTTAAATTATGGTTTTATTTTGTATAGTTCAATTGTGAACCTTGAGTGTATCATACTTTTTTATAGTGAAGTTTATATACTTCCTAACCTAAAATGATACAACACATGGCACAGAGGAACCTGAAAAACAATAATACAGGATTCCAGACATGTAATTTGATAAGACATAGTTGAGACCAAGGCAATGGATGTGGAAGCACCCTGTATTCATGGTAAGGCATGAGCGAGAGAAATCTTTTCCTCCCTCCTCTCCTTTAAATCATGCAAGGAGGGCAAGTTGAGCACATACCCTTGCGTCCACCATTGCCTTGTCTGATGTGATACGCAATGTGAGTGTCCTGTCAACTTGAAATTTCATGTAAGTGGTGCACTCGATTTTTTTCTGGACATTGCATCGTCATATATATGAATAGAGAATGAGATTCTACACACAAGTGAATTACTCAAGTTCTAGAGATTTGATCTGGCTGTACAGTTCTAATTATCTAACAGTTTTAACTTAATGGGAAATTCAAATGGAAAAACTTGAGTATAGAGTTCTACCAATGACAGATTCAGGGATTAATTACTGATGCAGAGTTAGGGTGTTGGCATTTTGTGAACCATGAGATGCGCATTATTCATTCTTATGGTGATACAAGCACCAGCTCAGATCTCAAGGTAGAGAATGGCAAGGAAGAGACAGCCACGATATAGAAGTAAGGAGAGGCCCAAAGACGAGGTTAAAGATGCTGGGGCAGTGAAAGTGCCTGTCCGGGAAGGGCTAGTTCTCAAATATGGCTATCGTATGTGGGTTATTTCCTCCTCCTCCTCATCTTCGGATGAGGATATTCCTCGAAGACAGCCTCAGCCCAAGAAAATGGGTAAGCTTTGTTTTCTAAGCAGCAATCACATCTGAAGATACAACCATCAGTGCTGTTGATTGCTATAGTACTAATATTAATTCAGAAGAATTTATGAATCTTTGGTATAGGCCTTTTGTTGTTCTCAAGCTTCTAATGTGGTCATGTTACATGAATTCCATGGATTCATGTCCATTGGTAATGATGAGAGAGTCCTATTATAATTTTTTAGGGTGTTATTTACCTGGGACTGTAATTAGAAATGTTGAAATGAGAGATGTTGGCCTGCAGATATTTGAAGAGAAGAGAAAAATATCTAATTGTGATGCCCAGGCATACTTTTTCCTAATTGAAATGAATGATACTGTGTCAAGAAAATTTCAAGTGTGTTGTCATGCACAACATGCTTCCTTATCATGTACTCAATGAAAATGAAATGTGTGTGAGCAATTATGTACCATATCTCTGAATATGTGCATGTAATAAGCACATGTATGAGGGTCACTCAATAAGTTATCTACCTGAATAAGAAAGAAACATCCGAGGGGAAAAATAACACTTTATTTTTCAATGTAGTCACCTTTTAACNACCCCTTCTGAGTTTTCTCATCAGTGGAAGTTATGACGACAGCCTCGTACACCAACGAACTATTTGTCTATGCTTTCCCTTGGACCAAACCTTTACCCTCTTTCCTACGGATGACGTATATATACGCGATTTATTACCTCGATTTTGAAAGTTATAGAGCTATGATGAAAATCATTGCTCTACCTGTTTTTCGTTCTTCATACCTGTTTCTCTATACTTTCCTACGGATGAGGTATATTTACGTCGTGAGACTTAGCGCCTGGCTGAGGCTGGAATAATACCGTTGGGATGTAGGGTCAGTCAATCCCGTGGTCAAGGGGTTAACCAGCTTTTCGCTATCCTTCACATTTGTCAGATGTTTCAGTTCTTCGGTCGAAACTTTTTCCTTTACTCATGAGCTTAAGTGAATTTCAGGAAATTTGTCCGAATGTATTCTTTCCCGCTACCTAACGCAACACATTTTGATATGGGAAAAATATTTTTCAAATGTTTTCCCCTCTTGTCGACTATCCTCTCCCTCCTCAATTCCCCGCACCCACGGACTTTGTTCAGGTCACCCTGCCTTTATTTGCTGAGAAGAAGTTGATTTCTATTCGCAGGGAATAAAATCCTTGGAATCAAAGTGGAATAAGTGTGTCGAGTTAAAAGGTGACTACATTGAAACATAAAGTGTTATTTTTCCCCTCGGATGTTTCTTGCATATTCAGGTAGATAACTTATTGAGTGGCCCTCGTATCAAATGGAGGGTGATAATATGATACTTATACTTTGTGTTTGATTCATCTTGTTTTTCCCAGTCAGTTACATGGTTGAGAGATGAGGGACAGTTTCATTCACATGGCTAGTCTCTATATATTGGGAAAAAAAAAAGAAAAGTAATTTTTATTTCACGTTTATGTGCAGGAGAGTCGGACATAGAGTTTGAAAGGCTGGACCTGGTGATTCTGAGACAGAGTTCTGGGCTTGGACTTTCCATTGCTGGGGGCAAGGGGTCCACTCCCTTCAAGGGAAATGATGAAGGAATCTTCATCTCTCGGGTCACTGAAGGTGGAGCAGCATATGGCGCTGGACTCAGGGTATCTAGTGACATCTTGTCTCTATGCTATAATGGATAAACTGTCTGTTCAGACTGGACTTCAAAAGTGAAACCTGAGTATCGTAGATCCTAGATGCAGACATAGATGCATACTTGTTAGCTTGATTTTTTGTGAATCTGCTCTAAATACTTTTCTGTTTTAGATATAAGACAAATCTCTTCTATAGGTTGGTGATAAGGTATTGAGTGTGAATGGAGTTTCCCTTGATGAGGCAGACCATTATGAGGCAGTAGATACTCTCAAGGCAGCTGGCAATGAAATCCGTCTCTCTGTTGTGCGGGAAATCACCATTCATCCAGTGGTATGATATATTGTATTCATAGATTATAGCAATTCTCCTTCTCATTCCTAGTCCTTGTATTGAATCATAGAATTTGTATTTCATTTCTACAAAACAGCAGCAGCAGCATCAGCAGCCTTCCCTCCATGCATTAAACACATCATACAGCTCACAGGCTCATCCAAGCCCATCTGCATCTGAGATCTCATCGGGGATGGCCAGCAGCTCCCACTTGACACCTTTTCTCAACCAATCCTTCTCATCTACGCTTTCTGCACCTACTCCAACGCCTACACTCCCTAATCACATAGGTAAAAGATACTCCTCACTATATAATGTTGTAGTCAACCCTCAATATAGCACGACCCGATATACTGCCACTCTCGCTTAGCGTCAACTCTTTCTTGAGAGCGAATCTTCCCCATAGGCTTATCATTGGTGCTCCCCCATTATAGTGCCACCCTTGCAAGCCACCATCTGCCAATATTTTGCCTTGCACAAACATGCCTTATTCGACATAAGTCATACTCGATATAGCACCAAGCAGCATACCATACCAGCTACATGATTATACCATGCACTACCATGGTGGAAAAAAAAAAAAAGACATGCTGTCGGCCTTTCCTTTTGATCGTTTGATAACGAGATTGTAAGGGATGACTTAGCTTTGGCACAGACACCAGGGATTAGAGGGGGGCATAAGGGGTCTCTTAATCTGACCTAATCCTGCCTCTCCTTTTCTTTTGGAGAATGGAAATGCCTCTTTCAGTTCAAAGTTTCTCTAGACAATTGTTCAAGTGTGTTCATTATCCAGTTATGAGGAAAAGGACAGTTATAAGTGTGAGGGAAAAAGTGGAAGTGTGTCATTACAAGGAGGTGCATGTAGCCAAAAGTCAGCAAAACGTGAATCATTTTTCAAAACTGTATAGTTTTTGTTCTCCATTGGCAGCATGGATGAATTAAAGTGGATTGTTTTTGCTATTTCTATTTTACTCAACTTGTGCAAATCAACTTGTAGTTTATTTGATCTTGTTCTCTGGTAATGATGGATGTCTTTAAAAATCTTGAAGTGGGACTCTTGAGTGAGAACCCTTGTATAGCATATAATGGGAAGATTTTTGCAATGTACACTTTTGTCATTCAGGTGGAATACAGGAATGAAAATTGTTCACAAGAGTTAAAAAGTGGCTCAAAGATCTCCAACATTCAGGCCCCATCATATGTGCTTTCTGTTCAGGTTCATGGCAAATAGTTCTTGCACTGAAGTGAATGCATTTGCTTAATATGTACACTATCAACATATAATCTTAGTGCTTTTTTGTACTCATGTTTTCCTAAGCTATTAAATCTTCTCAAATGTGATCTCTCAAATACCACACATTGTTTACTCTTCCCTGAAATCCTTGTGTGCATCCTGTTGTTGTTGTGAACATGATTAGTGTCATCATTCCATCCCATCCTTCTTTTGGCTGCTTTTGAAGAGAATGGGTCTTGTACTAGACCAATGTCATTCCTGCTCAGAGCCCAAAGATTCCTCCACAATATTGACCCTCACATTTACACATACATAAAATAATTTGCTAGAGTTTGATCCCTACATAACATATTTCAGATAAGCTTTTAATAAATGGAGAACTTTGCAGTGTGGTGGCAGAGAATGTTTTATCATTGAAACATATGGTCCAGTATTAAAATCCACTGTTTTCTTCACTGTTAATCTTGCCAATTATATTAGCATATATACTCCGTCACCTATATGTTAATCATACATGTTCTGTGGAATGGCAACTTTTCAGAAATGTGTGCTCTTGAAATTCCATATGAAATCAGTGTAGCCATATACCTATCCCTCTGAATTTCATGAAATTGTGTGAGCTTGTGGGGTCTGTTGAAATATTTATCCACCCCAAATTTGCTCTTCTTAAGTCAATTGCTTTTTTGAGGCAGAAACCTCCTTGAGGATTAAAGTAGTAGCATGGTTGGCCTGTATGGACAATATATCAAACTGGAGATAAGAGTTCAAATCTTTCTACGAAGAAACTATCCTGCTTTTGTTTTTATATGCTTGTCAGATGCTTCATTATGTTCAGAGCTTGAAAATCAAGGTTGGTTCCATAAATTGATGTTTCATTGTATTTGCATGAACAGGAATGAAATCGGCAACTAATGGACCCGGTTCAATATCAGGAAAAGAAGAAGATTCACAGGAGGAAATGGTCATCAGAGAAGAGAATGTATATACAACTCTTATGAGGGACCAAAATGGCTTGGGCTTCAGCATTGCTGGTGGCCGAGGTTCCAACCCATTCAAAGATGGCAGTGATGTGAGTAATACTTAGTGATACTTGTTATAGGCTTATATGATACGAAGTATTTGATAAAGGGGTCCATTACTCCTTTTTTAGGGCATTATTTTTCTGCAGGTCTAATCTCTTTGGTTTTTTTTTATTTTTTGAAGGCCATATTTGTTTCTCGAATCACTCCTGGTGGTGCTGCTGAACGAGATGGGAAGCTTCGTGTGGGCGATCGGGTTCTCTCTGTGAGTAACTCTTGACTTTCTTCATGTAGGAAATTAATGCTTACATTTGCTTTCCTTGCATCCAAGGTGACTTGAACCATTTAGTACATTAGTTACAAAAGCCTCGAGGGAAAAATTGTTCAAGCACCCTTTCTTAAAAGAACCTAAGTAAGATCTTTTGCCCCAAATTGCCAAAATGTGATAATTTTATTGTAGCTTTGAGCTACTTTAAAATCTCTCTCTCATCTCATCTTGTCCTGCCTCAGAGGCATCAGTGCTCCAGATGTAAAGGAAGCAGATGATGTTGCATGTGATGCAGAGCTACTCCCATGAAGTGGGCAGTCTAATTTGGGCCATAATTAAGGTAGGGATGAAAGAATAATGCATCCCTAATTTAGATGTGGTTGTACTAAAGTCATGGATTTGGCTTATTCATAGAGAAAGGAAGGGATTTGGAGGAAAAGTAGTTCTTCTTTTCTTTTCTCTCTTTTTTTTTCTTTTTACACTATTCTATCACTTTTCTCTGTCTTTCTTTCTCCCCTTCTCATAATGAGTAATACCTGAGCTAGGTGGGTTTTTAGTTTTTTGTGGCTTAGGCAAGTAGAAATGGATCAGTGGCCAGTCAACACAGTTATTTATTGTCAGAAAGCCCCAAAAAGATGTAGACCTTATCACCAGAAATGATAATGTTGACCAGTCAGCTTCTTATCCTGAGTGTATGGGTATGTCATGGTCAAAAACTAAAATCCTTGCATCAAGGTTCAAGTCTTCCTAAGGGGAGAAAACTCATAGTTTGTTCTCCATTTCTGCTTGCTGAGCTTAGTCCTGGTGCAGATGTCCTCTTGGAAGTGGCTTCTCCATGAGAATGGGTTGCCATTGGATGACATTTAAATTAAGAGAGCCACTTAAGCATGGATTTATAGCTGGAACCATGGAAACCCTTGACAGGGTGACAGGAAAGGTGCTGACTTGGAAGTAACTTCCATTTCCCTTTAATTATTTACAGGTAATCTGTACAGGCACTATCAGGGACCTTCTCACTCAATGTGATCAATGCAAGGCAGCTCATGCTTCAAAGGAACTATGCATTGTATTTAGGCTTGTGCTTGGGATCATAATTGGGATATTATTTGCTTGCTTCCTAGATCAATGGAGTAGATGTGGAGGGTGCTCGTCATGATCAAGCAGTCTCAATGCTCACCGGTCTTGAACGCTTTGTGCGCTTGGTTGTGGCTCGAGAAACTCTAATGCCACGCTCTCAAGCAGAACGCCTCAAGACATCCAAAGTGCTTGGTGCCCCACGCCCCTACACGGCCCTCTATGGTGCTGACTCGTATTTGGCCAATCGCCCTGGTTACAAAAGGAGCTCGGGAATCTATGGCCGTATCAATACCAGTGCTTCTTCCTTGACTAAAGAAACTGTCTCAATGAAACCAAACACCTCCTCTCTTGCTTCTTCTCCTTCCCCCTACGTGGCTCCTGCTCCTCATGTGAATGGTGTTGTAACCACAAGCGTGCCTCTTCAGACTGGGACGTTGTCCAGCTTCCCACTTCTGACCGAGAAGCTGGAACCACCTGTCGTGCCTCAGGTACTGCACCCCAAAACTTCTGAGGAATTCCAGGCGCTAATCCCTAAGCACTTTCTAGAGCCTGCTGCTAACACAGAGGGTGATGGGGTTGAGGTGACTATTCGAGTCCGTCAACCGGACTCCGCAGTGGCGGAACTCAAAGAGAAGTTCCCTCCTGCCTCCAACAAGCCAGGCACAATTACAGAAACCATCACAAAAAGCACTCTCACCGAAACAGTGGTTACACGTGTCACCAAAAATCAACCCATCTTCAAACAGTCTGTTGAGGTAAGTTGGAAGATGCAAGTTGGAACGTCGCTGGGACAACTCATTTGTACTCTTTAGATATCTCATGTCCTTTCACCTGCCTCTCTGACTGATGCCACAACCTCAAGTGCTGTTTGCCTTTGAGCTGAAGTTTAGGATCCTGCAAATAGTATCGCAGTTCTCATCTTTTGCATGCTCTTCTGCCAACTCATCTGATTTTTTTTGGTGATCTTTGCTTGGAAGTCCATTCCACATCTATGCTAGTTGTAATAGTTCTGCTGACTGGATTGGGAGCTCTCTACCCTCACGCATCTCACTTCTGAAAGGGTTTGTGAGAGCATCAGCTAATAGTATCAGCTTCACTGCAGTTCGATTGTTCAACTTTATTTTCTGTTAATGCATGGCTATTCCATATAACAGCCAGATCAGTCTTCAGTTCTGATCAGCTCATTCACGATAAGGTGTTTTTATTCTGATTGAGAACTGGCTCAGTATAATATGATTGAGGGAACTAGTCATGCTCATGATGAGGAACATCTAAATGGGTGTTTCCCTCATAACTTGCAGATGAGAAGACTGTTGATACTAATGTGCAGCTTGTTCATTCTCACTGAGGCTTGTATCCACTTCTGCTTTGGGCATCTACTGCTTGTTTACATATTATTGAGCATAGTTTTAGCTCTCTGGTTGAAGCTCTGATCCAACATACTTCACCTGTGCTGACATTGAACCATCTCTCTTCTATTGCTGCATTGGTTTTCCTGAGTCACTGCTGAAGTTCTGTTCTGTTAGGTGACTCTTGGCATTTGTCATGCCAAAGTCTATTGCTGACTGACTGACAGGTGGAAGTAGCTTTGTTGCTGGCTAGTGGCAATTGCTCCATGTTTTTACTTCACTTATGCACATGACTCATTCTATAGGCAGACATTTTGATTTGCTCTTGGTGCAATTTCAGGGTTCACATTAACTTGCTATAGTGAGTCCCTGACTCATATATTCTTGGAGGGACTCATATTTGCAAAACATATAAGTCTGTGGGACTCATTGACAACCACCTGAACATGTTCCCATTGAGATGAAGCTAGGTACCAGGACTCAAGATTTAAAAAAGCTAGTGTGAACCCTGAATTTGATCTCCACAGTAAGTGATTCTGGGAATATTGATAGATGAAATGTTTTTTATCTGTACAATGGCAGTAGTGCCCTTGCTGGATGCCCTCAATCTTCTCATCTGATGATGTGGTCTTTTCACATTGTTATTTCACAGTTGCATTCATTTTTAAAATGTTTTGTGAACCATAGCATCTAGCCTCTAGTTGCCTTTGTGCAATATTTTATTAAGATATTGTTTCAAAGGTCAATGAATACCTCAGGAGTAATTGTATTATCTGATCAATGACATGCATGCTATTAGCAAAAGTGCTGGTAAATAAATATATAGGGAAGTACATGGGAAAGCCTCCCATATAGTCAATCAGTCACACTTTCTAGGTAGGCCTAGGCAGATCTTTAGTATGGTTCAATTTTGGAAAGTTTGGCATAATATTCACTCTCAGTGTGAAAGATGAGGGATTTATAATTATATGGAATTTGCTTTCATCAGGTTGCATGATTCTAGTTCAGATTCTACCTTTGTAAATATGATCCTGTAGTAGCTAATAATCATTTATTGGGAGATTCAAAAATATTTTTTTCTTGCACAGGGCTCATTTGCATGCTCTGTGCTTCCCATGTGCTATAATTATAATGCACACCTCATTATTTTAATCTAACTGGGACATATAACCCATATTAGTACAGCTGGTGTTATCTCAAGTACACAGACTTGCACACTCTAGAATTTGAGGACATAAAAAAGATCTTTAAAAGCATGTAACTGTAAGACTATTTGGTCTGACATTCTGTACCTGGGAGGAAATACCAGGATTATGTTCCATCAGTCTTCTTCAGCATAAGTTCCTTGTCATAAAAATGAATAATATGGTAGTCATTACATCAATCATGAAAATCAGTCTGTCCATGATGAGATGCATTCATTTGTGCAACATCACCTTGTTTTCAGACTGAAGCATAACACTGCTGTTATTCTTGGTACATCGCTATGTGATAAAGTTTGGCTTTGTTTGGCATAACAATTTAAACCAATTGTCATCCACTGCCACAGTCATGACTTTTACTACTGGAATTCTCATTTCTTTTGAATGAGCCATGTAAGGTGTGTGCACATGTGCCCTTGAGAATAAGAATGTGAACATGGGCATGATAGTGGACTCATTACTGTTTCAGCCATCAGAGAAAGTTGAAAAAAAAAGGGCTTACTAGGAGAAAACTTTTTTCTTTATCTCCTTTTTCCTTCTTCATTATCAGGCTTACTGAGGGTTGTATGACTCATGGAGACCTGAATAGGGTCTTATGTCCATGATAGGATCAGTGGATCTTGTGTGAAGATCCCACTCCTAGGATGTGATCCTCACAGACTTTTTCAGGACAGTAGTATGATACTTGGTAGATCAATGCCTATTATGAGGCTAGTGAGTTATTATGGATGCCTGCTCTTGCAATGAACAAGGAATATACATTTCATTACCAGCTAATTCTCCATTAAGAGCATTCCTTCTTTACCCTGATTGACATTGCTTATTAAGGCAACTCTCCTTCCAAATGACTTTTGATTTGACCGTACAAATTAAGTGCCTCTAACTTGACAACATGCATCTCAACCACTGTGGATGGTGTGTTGTACCAGGAGGCCAGAATAAATTATGCCAGATGAATCTGGATTAGATTGTCCTTGTGTGTGGCATCTGATCTTCGTACATACGGCACACCTTTTGAATTTATAAAGGATAGAATCATCATCTCCTATCCAATCTCTTTTTCTGCGAGAATAAGCCTGCTCTTTTTGTTAATCACTTCTCATATTGTTGATACCTTTGTCATTCCTAAGCTGAAGGTTCAAAAAAGCCTTGGTCTTAAGCAGGATGTATTATTTAGAGAGGAAATATATTATGATGAAGATTTAGCAAATGAGACAGAATCACAGCAATGAGGATTTTCAGGGTGATGATTCTGAAGAGAGACAGAGTAGGGTGGATGTGGTCATTTTGGCATTCTGAAAAAAATCATTAATTAATTTTGATATTTATATTCCCTCAGAAAATAGCATTCCATTAAATTCTAAATTTTTTCTCAGTTTGTCAGATTGAAGAAAGCTTGAGCTAACCCTGCTGACTTTGGATGAACAGGTAAAGGTGGTTCTTTCGTTGCCCAAGTTGAAATCACCACAGGCTACCTGACAAAGAGTTTCAATCATTTTTTAAAATCCTCAGTTAGTAAAAATGCAATAAGAGAGTTCTTCAAGAAATGCAATGCCCCCAGTGTCAACAGCAGACAAATGCTGTCGTTCCCCCCAACTTAGCAGGTAAAAAGTTCCAAAGGGCACGAAACATTTGCATAGAGCCCAAAAACTGTCAGTATCTTGTGGTCTTGAATTTTTTTAACAACTCTCTTATTGCATATTTATTTGATGAGGATTTTTTATTTAATGTCTGAAATTGTCATTTGGTAGCCATTGGTGATTTCATCTTGGCCATTCAAAGAACCACCTTAATCCATTCATTCAAGGTCAGTACAATAAGTCAAGCTTTCTTCAATCAGAGGCAAATGAAAAAACTTGAAAATATTCTACATTTAATGCAATCTTAGGAAAGAAAGTACCATTAACCAAAAAAATGTGGAAGATTCATGTGCTCAAGTGACTTCATGTTCCCCCAAAGTTTCCTGGCATAAAATATTCTAGTCCTTCAGCTTCATTTCTGTACATATTTTGCTATCACTTCAGAATTTACTGGATTATTGTCATATTCTTATGTATTCAACTTCCTTCTTTCTATATTTGTGTTGCTATGAAATTGCTTTTGCATTTCCTTCATCCTAAAACTGCAGCTTTTTTTAAACATATTATGCCTTGAAAAAAAAAAGAGCATAAATGAATTTTTTTTTAGGTGCTTTCGTTCAGAATTACATAAGCCTTAAGTTTTTAGGCACTTGACATCTCAGATGAATGGGAAAGATATCTGTCAAGTTTGAAAAAAGTTATATTTTGCTTAAATGCAAAACTTTTCAAAATTTAGGTATGAAAATTGCACCTGCAAAGCTGCCTGTTATTTTAACCTTGCATTTATGAGGTATCATTCCAGGCATCTATTTTAATCAATTGCAAAGAGATGGCTCATCCTGACATGTTTTCAATTTTGGATAATTTCTTTACCCAGAGTATAGACACTTGCAATGAAAATGTCATAAACTCAATGTTTCATCATCATCAGGTCAATAAACATGATAAACATCTTTGCACAAAATGGTAATATTGTGATCTTTTTTTTTTTTTACTGCATCCTACTGTTATGTTGATGTGTTCATGTTAAGACTATAACGCTTTGTTTTTAATTTTGCTGGTGGTGGCACCTACCAGTCAGAAGCCCTGGATATTGTTATTTAAGCCTTTCACTGTTATACAAAAAAATCTGCCTTCCCCCTGTGTGATAAAAATTGGCACTGCTTACCTGAAAACAATAGTTTAGGTAAGTAAATGTCATATCTTGATAACTATAGAAGATAGTGGTTACATGCATAAATAGCAGTGAAATAATCTAGAAACAGTGAATGGTCTGAGCCCTAGAACATACCTGGGTTACCACTACACAAGCCCGAATATGTACTTGGGCAAACAGCCAAAGGGTTAGTAATCTTTCCCATTGGCTCTAGGTATTCCTTTTTCCTTTTAAGCTGGCTGAACACTTATGAAACGTTCTTGCAAAGCATATCTCATATTTGCTTAATTGGATTTAACTTGAATAGAACAAGTTTAATCATGCTTCACCAGTGTACAGCTCTTCACTGTTTGCTATTCAGTGAAGCATATACACATTTGATATTTGTTTCATGAAAATGTTTCACCAGTGAGCATTTTGCCTTTAAAGTTATAAAGGTGTTTGTTCTTGAGTGGGTTTTTACATCTCTTGATGATTTTAATTTGTTACTTTAAGATTCCATCATTGTTGCTTTGTGATACACCATGAAAACTATTATATTGTTGCTGATGCATTTTTTTTATCATGCATCCATGCTACTAACAATGAAAGCATTAAGGATTTTCTAAGATGAGTTAGTGACCCTCATGGATCATACTCACATGAAGCCTTTCTTATACAACTTTCACCAGTGCATGTTTGATCATGAATACTTGAAAGGATTAACAAAGGATTGTCTAGTTGTTATCCTTTATCTTGTGTATGGGTGCCTCATATTTGAGTGATACTAGCACTATTCATTTTGTAATGGATGTCTTTCAGGAGGTGGTACTGGCAAAAGAAGGTGGTCCTCTTGGTCTAAGCATCATTGGTGGCATCGATCAGACTTCCACTCCTTTTGGGGCCAATGAACCGGGAGTTTTTATTTCCAAGGTAAGCTCATGGTTTCTCATGGATTTGGAATTTAATTACTCTTGTTCCACTTAACTATGTACTGTTTCCCATATGAACACAAGTAATAAAAGTTAATAAGAAGTTGTCTCTTTATTCAGTGATGTCTTGTTGATGTTGTGACCTTTCTAATGATGTATCAATCATCTTCTTGTTCATACATACTTTATTCTCCATCATCCTTGGTGGGAATTCGGTCAGGACATAGATGTTGAAGGTAAAAGTTCCAAGCAAGAAAATATATTCCAGGAACTTTTTCATAAGAATGAGTTTGATTTTGTCTGTAGAAAAAAAAAACAGTGAACAAATGACAGGAAGATAAAGAGACATTTAATTGCAATTTAAAAAAAAAACATTGAATTCAAGTGCATCGTTAAGTGGAATAGGATTAGTATAGGAAGTGGGAACATGTAGAATGTGGACTGGTTGACTTTAAAAGATGGCTGTTCCTGATGGTTTGTCTCGTTGCTGGTTTTAAATAAAATGTAGCTGGGAATGCTTACTTTAATCCTGAAGCAGACAGCAGAAGCAATTTTATCCTTTCTGGAAAATAATTACATTTCTGTTTGTTCATATCAGCACTTATAAGTTTCAGCATACCTTAGTATTATACAGGAAGTGAGGCTATCATTTTGCATAGCTGAAGATGCAGGTACTGATAGCAGTTGTCCTGAGATTGAATTTCAAAGACTTTTATGCTCAAGAATAATTTCCTGAAGGATTGTGTAGGAATGGATTTCTTCATTAAGTACTGTACTATGGAACCTAGGCACACAAGGCAGGTAGATTTGGACAGATTATTCATTCAGTGCAGAGAAAGTTATATTGAATGTCTAGTTAACTGGATATTGGGAACATGCTAATGAATCCATTCACTCTTCCAACTAGTCATGTTTACACTCTATCCATCTTGTTGAGGATGGAGTGTAATAACCATGCATTGTGCCTTCATTGTTCCTGAAAATTGGCTTGTATTGCAGGTCATCTGTTAACAATTTTTTCAACATAATAGGGATGAGAATGTCAAGCAATTAGCATTAGACAATAATGACATATTGTTTAGAGAATTACATACTGGGTTGAAACTGTGCTATGGTTCTTCTTTTTTTCAGGTATTTTCTGAAAAATTATAAATGATGAAAAACTATTCCTTATCTAGCATGTAGCTTTTAATGGCCATCAGAAAAAAATGGAGGTATGCAGGCTTGAGATGCATTGTAACACAACAACAAGTGAGCCTGAACAGCTGCCACTCAACATGATTCCTAATTCCAGAAAAATACAGTAAGATGGGCCTTAGTCACATGATCCAGGGCAGGGGAAGGGCAGGTACAACACAATATCAAGACTTCTAACTAATTGGAACTGAACAAGGTTTAAATACTCTGAGATTTTTTCGCTGCGAATATAAAAAAAGGAAGGGTAGTTGGCTTTGTGAAGCACTGATTCAGATGAATCGATGAAAATGTATTTCCCCTGTCTCCTTTACTCACATATCTTGAGTACCCCTCCCTCTTTAGTCGTGCAATGTTCTGGCAATGATACTTTGTTTTGGCACTTTGCCCAGCATATTTGTTCCTTATATTCCTATTAAGATTACCTTGTATCTTCATTATTAAACTTTTGTGTTGTTTTTTGTCGCTAAAGTTTTGGATAAGGTAGCCGTACTTAGAAAAACAATTTTACCAATTATTGAGGCTCTGAAGCTGAACACTGAACCATTGAAGGTTTTTCAACTCACCATTTTATACAAAATGGTGAGAAATGCCTTCATACAAAATATGCATGTTTGCCATATTTCACTGCTCTACTCTCTCCTAGGTTTTGAGAGTTTTTAAAACAGATTCATCCTTGGATGATAAAACTTCTGCTTAACCCTTTCAGTGCCAGTTGTTTTCTGGCTGGTTTAATTTAAGAATTAGTGAATTTATGGGTTAAATATGTCTAAAATATGCAAGAAATAATTTTAAACTGTTTTCAGTATCCTTTCCCAAATTGGGGACTGGGTGAGAGTAATGGTTTTAAGTATATGCTTCTTGCATTTGCTCTAACAAAGATAAGGAATATAAGTGAACCATGCCTTGTTTTTTTCTAGCAGAACCAGTTTTATTAACCTGGCTAGCATTTTCCATGACCATGTTTCATGAATAAATCAGTATATAGTGAATTTTTGAATGAACTAACTTCAATTTGAATTTGCAATTTTGTCTCTGTCAATTTTTTGTATATTTTGATAATAATGCTCATATCATCAGGTGGTATCAGGAGGAGTTGCAGCCCGTAGTGGAAACCTAAGGGTTGGAGATCGAATTCTAGCAGTGAATGGGCATGAAGTGGCAACTGCCACTCATCAAGAAGCTGTTGGTCACCTGTTATCTCCCACTCCTGAGGTGGTGCTCAAAGTTCGTCATGATCCTCTACCAGAGGGATATCAGGTGAGCTTGGTCACAGGAAAGTTTTCCTTCCCAGAAGTTGTATCACTGTCACAGACAGGTGCATCATGAGTCCAGGCATTGGTTGGAGACCTCAACCCTCATTGGAAGGGAAGAGAACACATATTGGTCAATCAACAATGCAATGGCAGCAAACATGAACCTCTCATTTGCACTAATTTCCCTATGGTGCATAGCCTGACAAAGTCAGCATGGCCAGAGTAAAAGTTAAAAAAAATTAATATGGCTGTATGCTATCTTGTCAAGGTCAATCCATGAACATGTTTTACTTGGTCATTATCTCGCAAGTTGATATGGTTTTGAACCCCCCTTGGCATGGATGACTCTTGAATACACTTGTTAATGTGTTGGAACAACTCCTGTTTCATAGAATGTGGAATATTCTGCTGTCTCTTTTGTAATGCCAACCCCTGAAGACATCTGGATTATTCTGGATTATGCTGTTAACTGATTAACTGTCAGACCATGGACTTATATGCCCACTGTCAAGCATTTTTTTGGTTGCTGAGGTCCACTGCGATGTTATTCCATGTCAATCTGCATGGATGACTTGAGTTTGCTGAAGAAAAAAAAACCTTCCTTTAACCTATGAGGTTCTCTTTCAAATCCTGCCTTTTTCTAGTTAACATGTTGGCGACAATGCGTCCTGATGCCAGGATGCAGATTTTTTTTCAATGAATACCCTCTGGAACTGTTGAGAACGTTCCAGAAGATTATGATTTCGTAATTACTGATAAAAATTCCAAAAAATTCAACATGTTAAAAAAACTCTGCAAAAAAATTTTTCTGGGACCATGCGTCCTGATGGCAGGATGCATTTTTTGACAAAAAAAATGCATGTGGTCCTACGCGGCAGACAAGCAAAAATAGGCTGGTCGTCAACGTGTTAATACCTTAATAAAAAATTTACAAAATGTTGCATAATGAAGGTGTGGGGTAGACCTCATTGACATTCCCTTTAACTCAGTGTGATGGGTTTTGATTTTGGTCTGGTGCTACTGAACCTGATCCCTACTGAACCCAAGCTAAACATGAAAATCAACTACAGGTTGCCCAACTTTATTTGACCATTTTTTTTTTTTTACCAAGAACATTACACATTTTTTACTTCTTCTTTCAGAAACTATCATACTCCATTTTGTGTCCTTGATTCTGAAGAAAAGCCCAGCACCTCAATTTCTACTCTACCAGATCTTTACAGAGCAGAGAGATAAATGATTTCTCCAATTCCTCTCTAATTACTTTCCAAAGTCCATCCCAAAGTTTGACAGCACTGATTCACTAGAACATGCTTCAGGAATCCAAATGCATAGAAACCCAAAACCTCTTTAGATAATGAAAACCCTGTTTTTTTGGAAACAAATAGACAGGGTTTTTCCACAAAGAGAAAGGCTGAACCAAGTTGAATTGAGTGTCATAATATACTTGTACCTTTCACTGGCCAGGTGGTACTTGCCTAATTTTCATGTATTCGTTTTCTTTACCCTGATGTGTTTCGGATAGAGGACATGAACTTTGACTTGTGTTTTCATTACATTTTGAGATCCTCATGAATGACCCTGCTGATAGTTCCCTTGGACACTAGCAGTCGACATGCAAGTAATTTCTTACAGGGTGGATTTTCCAAGTCTGTGAAATGAGCAACTTTAGACAGAAGCCTCTTGTTATGTACCAGTCTTGTATGTGACTTTATATCTGAAATTCATGCCTTTCTTTGTTTCTCACTTCTTTCCATTGTAGATCATGATATTTGAGGCTGTGGAAATATGCCATGCTTTCAAGAAAAAAGCACAAATTAACCTTTTTTGTGAGTAACCTTTCATGGAAAGATGTTTCATGCACATCTTTACAACACAGTCAACATGCATCATTAAATGCCAACATAATGACTCCATATTTCCCATAACAAAAGTTGACTTCTTGCCCAGCAATCATGTGTCACATGGAAACTGTCCTTTCCCCATACAAGTAAACACATTTTGAAAATGGTCAAATAAAGCCTTCTGTATTTCTAAAAAATTTTCCAACCTCAATGGATCTGCTACCCTGAAGGTTCCATAAATATTTTTGCACACAGCTTTTCAGAACTGTTTAGTGAAAGCATCCAATAAATAAAAAAGTTTCTTATCTGGCTGTAGCCAAGAATTTGCAACTCAACATCATCTAGGGGTTGTTGACCTTTTAACCTTGAGTGTGTCAGACATGAGTGGTGAAGCACATTTTTTTCCCCCTAGCTTTTGTAATGATACATTTGAATAGCAACTTTTCAATTCTGAGTTGGTTGACTGCTACAGATGTGCCCACTTTGTATAAAACAGCTCCTAAACTAAGTACATTGCAATTGGAAAGAGACCTGTTGAATTGCAGTAGCCCTTTCTATAATGATTCCATTGTAATATACCAGTAAGAATAAGATGATGACAATCATGGTCATTTCCTCTTGATATTAATAATGTGAGTGTCATGAGTGTCAAGGGGACCATACACCAGTGGTTCAGGGAGAGAGGTATGTGCCAATAGAGGTCTGAGTACCCATTCAAGCAGCTGATGATTGTCTGGGTTTCAATATTTCACCTTTGGCAATGCTATGCAAAAATATGCCTTTATGCTTTTATTCATTGAGTCAAAGTGGTGCACATATCCACTTCCATAGATCATAAATAGTAATGCAGAGAAATACACTTCTGCTAAAAGACTTAGGCCTGAATTCACAAACTTCATTTAGGGGAGATAAAGGGACCTTTAATCTAAAGAGCTCTTTTTCTCTCATAGGAGTCCATGTATTATTAAAGGACTGTTAACTAAAGGAGATTTCAGAATTCAGGCCTTGGAGTTTTGAGTTCATTTTTGTTTGGAGGAATGTAGTTTGAGCATGAAGACTTGTACCCCAGGGTCACTTGAAATTGATTGCTTTGAGTGCTCAAGGGTTCAACCATAGGTAACTATGAAAATTTTTGTTTGTTCTAGGTTTGGTCCCATTTAACCTTAGGCCTTTGATATCATAGTACATTAGAATTATGCTTGAGTTTGTCCTGATTCTTCCCAAAACTGGAATTTCCATCTTTAGGAAAATTGATTGGTGGTAATCCCTCACCTCTTTGGAATATGATAGGGTGACCAGACTTTTTTCAGGAAAAATTTGGAAATTTTAAAGGAAATTCCCAAATGTTAATCCTTGCAATGTGGAAAGACTAGGAACCAGGATAGAGCCTGAAAAACTGGGACACCTGGTCATCCTAGAATATGCTTTCCTGGAGGTTTTCATGTGTGGGTGTGATTGTGGGGGGGGGGGGGGGGGGGGGGGAGAAAAAAAATAATAGGGGTTGAGCTAACTCCAGGATCTTGCATGTGAAAAAAAGAAAAAAAGTCAGACTGAAATGAGAATTTTCTGCATTCAGCCTTCTCAGGGGGGGGGAGTGAGAGAGAAAAATCCTGTCACAAAAGATCACTGATTGATTACTCAGTCATCTATTCTCCATTTAATACTACAATAAATGCTACCTTATTTATTGTGAACCTTGGTTATATTGACTTTTTTTTTTGGTTCCTCTGATACAATTGTAATTGACTGCTGCATCATGCAAAGGATAGATAAGGCCTATTTGGTTAACTTAACCACTCTACCAATGTATGAAACCACAAAAAGTTGGTTGTTTTGATGAATTCATGAATTTAAGAACTCCTAATTCCTCTAAGCAGCCAAGAATTGCTCTGCCACAACTGCCCCTGGCAGCCCATAAAAATTGCTCAATTGATTCAGACATGAGTTGTTGATGCACTTCTTATAGTGGTTGGAAGAACTTAAGGCTTCCTCATCAACCATAATTCAACATGCAGATTATGTGTTCTTGTAATGTTACTTTCTTCCTTGTAATAATTTTGCAGGTCCTATATTTTGTGTATTGTAAAAATTGAATCATTCAGTGGAGAGAACATCACAATTTTTGGGCTTGGCTGAGTGAATACGTTTTCTGTCCATGGTTTGTGTAAGGAGTGGTATCTATGGTTTCTCCCTTCAGAATGAATGAATGTAGAAAAAAAATCTGAAAATAATGAGGAGTTGAGCCATGAATTGTGGCATACATTTCAGCCAAGCACTTCCAGGTAAATAAGGGTGCAGTTTAAGTGTTCATTGGTTAAGCCTGATCATTCCAAGTCATTCAAGCCTGTTCAGTCAGAGTTTTTGATAGGATTTAATGTTCCTGAATTCTCACCAACTATTGAAAGCTGTGGAATAACATTTGACATAGGTGTAACCTAACCCATTATCTGCAATTGTAAAAAAATTGGTGTCATGTCAATTCCCCAATTGTCAATTCTCCAACAGGACAGTTCCCCGAATGGCAAATTCCCTGTACGACCAGTTCCCCAATGTTACACATCAGCAAACTTACTGTGGCAGATGGAGGACAATCAACCACACTGTCTCTTACTTGAATAAGAATTCCTCTTCATGAAATTTCTGAAATTCAGATACCAGTGAAGTCCTAATCTGAGTGTTGCTGCTCAAATGATGCTACTCCTTCATGTCCAGGGGTTAATTTATGGTCAACCTCCTTGCTTGTCTTTGAAGGGACACAAGAGAATAACACAAATAACAGAACAGCCTTACCTGATAAAAAGTTTCATTTTTATTTAGTGGTGAAAGGAATTGAAATGTTTTCCCTGACAGTACTCCCTAAAAGATTATGCTCCACTCCCAATACATTCTCCATCCATCCCTGCTCATTTTGTTCTTTATGAGCATGTAGCCCACTGGATTCATTCCCCTTTCTCTCTTCACAAATTCCATGAACCCATGAACTCAAACACAGTTCAAGGACTGACCACAATGATCTGATTCCTGAGCCACCCAATTTCTCTATATATAGTCCCATTTTAGATCTTGATAGACGTCTTGTTGATCGTCTCATCTATGATGGTTGAGGTGATTATCCTGCATCCATTTCTGTTGCCTTTTTTAATCTTTCTTTTCCTTTCCC